TCCCTCTCCCCCCCTCTCTCTCTCTCTCCCCTCCACTCTCTCTCTCTCCCCCCTCCACTCTCTCTTTCTCCCCTCCACTCTCTCTCTCCTACTAACCCCCCTCCCTCGCCCTCTCTCCCCCTCGTGCCATCCCAAATCCTTATCCTGACCCCTTCCAAGTGCTATATACTGTAGTCATAATGGCTCAGCACATTCCTCTGGTAATTCCCTTCCCTCTCCCTCTAACAGGTGTGACTTGAAGACTGTCCCAAGTGCTACCTGGACACCGGGGACACTCAAGAGGCGGAACCCCAGCAAGTAGGACACACGAATACCTCAGGAATGCTAATTCTGATTAATAACTTTGTAATATGTTGATGGTGGGTTTTTACACACCACAGTTGTCAGCTGACTCAACGAACTCCTCATTTACACAATACGTACTTTTGCACAGTACTTTGTGGGTGGTTTTACTCACTTTAGGTTGATCTGAGAGCCCCATGCTCATGTCAAGTCACCACTGAGCTCACAAAATTCTAGGCCTAGTGTTCAGTAGGCCTAGTAATGTTTTGGATGAATCAAGAGCCAATGTATTAGGGAACAACCAAGGACCACTATATGAATTTATATTTTCATAGAGAATATTTTTATTTTCTAAAATAAAATATTTTATTTTTAATACTAATCTAAAAATAAAATGGTTTGTAAAATATTAAAGATCAGAAAATTCTGAAGGGGTCCAGAATATTGTACAATAATGCAAATTTTTGAGATTACAGTTTTATTCTATCAAAATTGTCCACAAAGGTTTTAAGTAGCAGACTGTAATTTTGCCCTATATGGTGTGAAAAACTTGCTGAATGAATAGGGTACCTTCTATAGGAATCTGAAATGTTTTTTCTCTTTACTATCTTATTTCTTCCCTCCTGGCAGATGCATCCCATACCCTATGAATGTGGGATATGATAGTGATGTGTGGCCCGTGTTAAATCCTGTCAGGTCCAAGACTGAACTGCACTTTAAAACAGATCTTGCTATCATGTAAGTTCACAACAAATATTTTTTTTTACAAATATATATGAATGAAAACAGCTGTTTGAAAAAGTAATAGTTAACTTGATATTTGATGATGAAATACAATTATACAGCAGAAAATAATACAATTAATATTCATACCTGAGCAAGTCCAATTCTCATAACCATGCTCCACAACACTTCAGAAAGCTGCCCATGAGCCAGAGACAAGGCCCACAGTCTGAGATAGGAGGCTGTGTGGGATACTGAACCCAGAACATACTCAATGGTATGAATGGCTTGCTCGATGAACACTTCGCTGAACTCAAATTCTTCTTCTTCTTTGTGATGTGGACCCGATGGTTCACCCTTCAAACCAGACAAAATATTAATAACGTGTGCCAACTACCGGCTAATTTGGTCTGTTTAAATTTGGTACTGTAATGAATAATATAAATTTTCTTTGCCTTTTAAAAATCTTTAAATAATGGCAAAGACATAACGGTTGTGACTAAGCAGAATAACATTAATAGTCTTTACTGAGAATTCTTACCATCTCTGACTCCACAACTGACTGGAAATTGCGAGCTCTCATGTTGGCCTTGTGGCGGCTATTGAGAATGAGCGGCTTAGGGATGAGCATGAGAGGAACACAGATGACGCACAGTAACAGCAGCACCACCTGCACTGTGTACTGACCCTTATACATCCATAAACTACAGTTTTCAGGAGGCTGAAAAATAAAGTACACTCTACAGTATGAAAAAAAACATTTATATTATGTTCATACAGGAAAACATAAGGTGGAATATATACCATGTTTATTAATACAAGCATCCATAAATGCTATGGAAAAAGATGAATACTGTATATGATAATGACAGAATGACTGCATCACAGCATTTTGAGAATGGCTCCCACTAGCCTGACCATCTACCTCGCCCTTCTCAATCCACCAATCTTCATGTTTTCTAACTTAATAAATCTACACTATTTTACTCAAAATTTTCGAAAAATTTAACAGGCGTCCCTAACCCTTAAACTGTGCACATTGCATCCGGGGTAACATTCCCAGGTGTTAGAGCCTCGGTACTGAGTGAGCCACGAAGGCTGGCGCACACAGCATGAGCCAACAGCACTGCTATTCAGCTTGTGACCACAGCATTGCCTAAAAATTTCAAAATATATATGTACCTGTTATTATTTAGCGATGATAGTATTACAGAAGACTCCTGACAGTGATAAAAATAACCAACATTCTGATAATAACAAGATTGTGGTGATAATTAGCACTGAGTAGTATGGTGGGAGGAGTAATCTTGGTGGGAAGGGAGATAGTGTCGTCTACTGACTGTGTGGCCACCTGTTATTGTCTGGACTCACCATACCAGCTTAGTGGATGGTGAGTGTATATGTAACACCAGCTATATAGTGATATAGAGGATTATCTCTATATATATGTACAGTATATAAATAAAACATGTGTATTATTGTAATAACGGCAAAAGGAGTACAGTATGTTGGGTGTAGCCATTCTGAGGTGTTGGTGAGGGAGGGAAGGAGGCAATGTTTGCTGGTTGGTGTGTGTGGTAGCCACTCCTCATTGTTTGGACTCACCATACCAACTTAGTGGTTAGTAATGGTGAACAAAACATGCAGATACTTACATATAACATGTGTATGTAGTGTAATAACAGCAAAACTTTGTTTATTGTTTTACGAACATAATTGAATCACTAAAATGCACACCATACTTTTGAGTATAGCGATGATTCACACACTATTATATAAATATATCACTACACACTACTGAATAATATTACTGCAAAAAGGTAACAAAAAAATCAGACACATTGAAATAATTATTTAATAATATCTTTGTGGCAACTCCCGCCTGACAGCTCGAGCGAAGCAGACCGCCTCCGATGCTTGCTTTGTCAACACCTCACTTTTGCCAGACTTCCTCGCCCTATTGCAGCCAAAATGTGTCGCCTAGTTTTTTTTTTATACCCCGTGGCATTTTTTTTTTTATACCTGGCAGTGTTAACCCTTAAATGGCGCATGGGTATATACCATTTGACACCCACAGGCGCATTTAAGAAAAAAAAAAGTGGGTTTGTTGAACCCTGTGTGAAAATTGAAAAATAAATTGTGTTTTTTGGCTCATTCACCCACTTAAAAGTATTACTGTAACACATAGTCTATACTATATCAATCTTGGTCCATGTTAGTAAAATGGCTAAGTTTAAAAACCTTATACAGTGCATTGTAAAAACCTGTGTTACATTTGTATATTACCAAGAAAGTGTAGAGTAAAGTAACAATCTTAATTTTAAATTGGTGTGGGACCAATTGTCAATTCATCCCAAACGTTTGTATTAGGTGAAAATTATAACTCAATCTCAGCAATCCTGTAACATAACCCTGTGTTCTTACAGTTAATAAGTAAACTATTCTTGAGTCGTTCAAGAAACCCATGTATGAGGCTTTAACCCCAGGTGTGATTATTGTCCAACTTAGACTAAGAATACTTAATTTCTATTTGCCTAGCATATATACGATATATATATTTCCTTCTATTATTTAAAGAAATGACAGGTTTTGTTAGTCTGTTCTCTCGGGTATGGGTTACAGCCTTGTGTCCTTACACTAGTTATGCCCCTTATGTATAGAGGGAGAATGAGGAAAAATCTTGGTCTCTTAATAGAATTGTCTCCTAGCATACACATATTGCACTTGTTCCTTTCAAGGAGGCTATTTTGCACACCCTGTCATGCCTCCTGGTCTCATGAGGACCTATTTCCATGCACAGAATTGGAACCAGTCCTCCTAATATTTTCCAAGTATAAATTAGTATGCATCTCTCACCTGAATACATATTTATGTAGAAAATACAAATTTAAGAATGTTAAAAATTCCCAATAATTTAGATATTTTGTTGAAAGGATTCAAGCAGGAAAAGAAACTCTCCACATTCCCAGGTCAGCAACTTTCCAACTTTGAATAGGGTTGCTAGTGTGTAACAATATTTCACCCATAGTGTAGTATTGTCTTAACCAAAATGCACAGAGCCTAAAGGCACTCTGAGAGTTGTGCTATTTTTTTTTTAATTAGGATATATTTTACTGTTTTTAATGTTTTCATCACTGTTTTGAAATGAAAATGGTTGAGCTTGGAAACATTTTGACATTAACGTTACCTGTACATTTATAAAAACAAAAATGTGTCCTTAACAATTGCACTATAACGTTTTTGCCGAAACCAGGTGTGCAATGTGGTGGTTAAACAGTATCATTAGTCTGGCATCTCTTATTTTAAACAACTTTTGTAATTGAGTCAAACAGTTTTTTTTGCAGTTGTGAGTTACTTTATTGTGTTCTTCAGAAAGTAAACTTTTTCAGCATGATTACTTCCAAACCTTTGACCAGACCACCAGCCAGGAGGCCTGGTCACAGACAGGACCATGGGGACAGTGACCAGACCACCAGCCAGGAGGCCTGGTCACAGACAGGACCATGGGGACAGTGACCAGACCACCAGCCAGGAGGCCGGGTCACAGACAGGACCATGGGGACAGTGACCAGACCACCAGCCAGGAGGCCTGGTCACAGACAGGACCATGGGGACAGTGACCAGACCACCAGCCAGGAGGCCGGGTCACAGACAGGACCATGGGGACAGTGACCAGACCACCAGCCAGGAGGCCTGGTCACAGAAAGGACTATGGGGACAGTGACCAGACCACTAGCCAGGAGGCCTGGTCATAGACAGAACCATGGGGACAGTAACCGGACCACCAGCCAGGAGGCCTGGTCACAGACAGGACCATGGGGACAGTGACCAGACCACCAGCCAGGAGGCCTGGTCACAGACACGACCATGGGGACAGTGATTCACTAGAACCAATAACAAGTAGGTAGAAAGCTATCTGCTGTGTTCACTTACTATTAGTATACAGTATAATGAAAGGAAGAATGTTATACACTATTTCTAAATACCATACTTCATATTTTACAGTAATATAAATATTTGAGATATTGTTACAGCACTTGGTTTGCATTATTTCAGATAATACTGTATGTGGTGAATGGAGTTTATTATAGCTGGAGTGTAGCATTCAAGTGTAATAGAATCCTGATCAGTACACTTACCTCATCTGTTTTTAGAAGAACCATGTTGATGAATGTAATGAGAACAGAAGGGGCACAGCTTGATCCATGTTCTACATCAAACGCTTCTCCACATCCATAATGAATCCACTTGTGGAAAACCATAATGCAAAGATATCCAAAGAGACCAATCAAGAAGATGATTTGAGGGATGAATTCAAACACCAAACTCAACCAGTTCTTGAAAAACCTGAAAACATGAATAAGATCAAATAAAAGGAATATGTTTACCAAAAATGTTTGAAGTGTTCCCATGAGTAGTATTCCTACATCCTACGATAATTGTTGATAATTGACAAAAAACTAAAATGTAATAGTTTTACGTCTCCACTGTTGAGTAAAAGAAACAGCATTTTATAGTTAGTGTCATTGTCCGTCAAATGTAGAAAAGTATTATCAAATTACTATCATTAGATATCAAAAAATGTCCATAAAATGTAGAGGACCCTGCCTGTTGGAATATCTAACTTCCATTTATGAGATGAACCATTTTCATATGGAACATACTATGATGACAATATTCCTACTAATCATCATCATAACTTGCTATGAGAAAAGCATATACTTGTTGCTGTTAGTATGAGCTCAAATTGACAGTCTTAAATTTATTGCATCACCACATATAACAGCACATTTTTATATCAGTATGTACCCCGCTTCAACATACTGCATTCTGCACGATAGCATCAAATAGAAGAGCCGAAGTTTAGCTATCGAGAAAATCCACAGGAGCCGTGATGTTTCAAAACTATGCACTGGGTATTCCCAGATGCACGCTCTAATTGACTACTCCACAACATGGTGAGAGAGCTGCAACCCGGGGTACTACTGCATTCACTATGATTCATTCTGTGTATTGAAAGAGGGGCATCAGAGGTAGAATTACTGAACGACAGAGCCAGAGTGCACAGGGGAAATTGTGAGAGACACTAGTTCGACTTCAGTGGAAGCCTCGGGAATCCTAGTGGGTGCAGTAGTACCCCAGGATGCAATTCTTTTACCATGTCGTTTCATAGTTGTTTAGAGCGTGCATCTAGGAACACTTGGCGCATAGGTTCGAATCGTCATCACGGCTCCTGTGGATTTTCTCACTGATATATCACTATAATGTGATTTCTCTATTTTAGCTAGCGACACATCCCACCTTTTATATCAATCTTTACTTTAAGGTGCAGTTATCATCACACGCTTATTTACTGTGTAATGCGGTTATCATATGTTGATTTTAAGTATTATTGTCTGGTTTTATACTGTACAATGATGCTAATATGGACACAATAGCTCTATATGGATTAATAGAGTTTATCTTGATCTTATGAACAAATCCTGCTATCATTTCATGATTACTCTCTATGTAAATGTGGTTATCACAAATGTTGCTATAACAATGTAGTAATCATTATAAAATTCATTATAAATACATGTATACCAGTTTTGTTCATATGATTTTCACAACTATATGATTACAACGAAATATACCAGGTCAACCAAGGATCATTTGAATATAATAATGCTGCATAATGTATCAACCATAACCAGGTATCAACCAGGTATCAGGTATCAATGAGTTCCTGCAGAAGGCCTATTGGCCTACACGAGGCAGCTATTTACACCAAACATGAGAACATAAGAATAAACCCATCATTGAATGTAATGAAATGGCTCTTCCTGAAGCTATCTTGCCGAGATTGCTACATACTGAAAGGTCACGTTAGTCGAAGAAGTTTTGTTTGGCCTATTGGGAACCAGAGGCAAAATCTGACCCCTCTCACAGAGATGTGAGGAGCAGGACAAGGATTCAATCATACTACTGTGGCTCGAAAGTCTTTAGTACCGATCACCACCACCAGCTGGCCTGACCCTATCCGGCCTCCCTCACCAGCCAGTTCTGGAACTGATGAACTGATGAACCTGGAGAGGGAAGGAATTAGGGAGCCACCACAGACACTCCATAAAGAGTAGTTTTATTACTTTCAATTCCGGGTTTTTGGGTGGCTACATGAAACTAACCACAGAGACAATTAGGTGAGAGAACAAAAATGGGAATTATCAGGAAGGAGAAGATGCAGCAGGAACTAGGGAAAAAGAGAACCCAGGCTGGAAGACATGGGCCCAAATCAACACACGATCAAATGGTACCAGGAACATTAACAAAATACTGAGCAGCTTGAACCCTGTTAGAATGACAAAACCCCAGAGCTCGAATATGGTACCGGAAGAGACCTGTCAGTTGGATGACAGTAAGCTTTGTCAATACTCGTCTGAATTAATAGGCTGTTGTAGTGACGGTAATTAATTGGGGATTACTCACCGAATGCTTGACGTTTCAAGTATGATGTAATTATTTGACTTGCGAGTTATTGTTGCCATTTAAGTGTCATGGAGACACAAGTGTGTTAACGTAATTGCTTAAATTCAATTAGTGTAACTTTTAATGTTGGTGTCCTGAGAGAAGTGTTAACGGAAGATTTTATAGGGGGTTATCATTCTTAGATCACCCGCCTTGTTACTTGGTACCTCGTTGGAAGAGCAGCGAGTGCTACAAGTTTTGTTATTATAGTATTTGTTCACCGTGAGGCCATGAAAATATTGATTGCAAGCTTGCATCACCAGTGGGCACCACTGTTCAGTTAGTGTCATTATTCAGTCAGCGACGACGGGTAGGATACCGTGGGTCCACCAAGCTGTTTAATAGCTGTTCTTAAATGAGCCACTGTGATGACAGTAAAGTAATGTAAACTCTTTGTTGTAGTAGTTCTAGTTTTGTTTGAATAAATTGTTATGTTTCTAGAAAACAGTCATTTAAGTCAAACTCGCAATATTTCTGTCCTACTTTTCATGTTCTGCAACACCTTGCCTGCTTATGTGTATATTAAGTCTGTATCTAAAGCTAGAGTCCAATACACAGCACAACGCTTCAAATAATATGAAGTGAGATCCCATCGGCTACCCTCTATTAGTTTTTACTAGGAGGAGCCAACAACTTAAGTGGACAGGTTTCACCTGTGTGGTGACGCCTGGTGGTTTGCTCCCGCTTTCCTATGATCTTAGGCTTTTAGTTTCTGCCTGTAGCAGTTCTTTCTGTTTGAGGTCTGCCTCTCTTGCGAGGTAGTTACGATTAACGTAACATCAATAGAAATTCTTTTGATAAAGTCAAAGGAAAAAAATCTCACAATAAGGACCTAACACAAAAGTCAGATGCAATTGATACAGCACCTATGAGGACGATACAATGAGAAGGCAGAAGGCAAACCGCGAGTCCCCCTAATATTTTATCCAGTTGTTTTATCCAGAGCGTATCCAGTTGCAGCTCTGAGTGCCACCCTTGCCATCTTCAATTTATATAGATGATACATAGATGAATTGTTTTCTGTGTTCAGTGATGATGCATCTGATACAAGTAGCATAGATGAACAGTGTTAGCAGCTTCCATGGTGGTGTTTTCCATAGCTATTTTCAAGAATAGCTGAATCTCTTCCAGAATGCCTGAATCTCTTCTAGATTGACTGACACTCTTTGAGGATGGCTGAATCTCTTCCAGTGTGGGACCTTACAAAGCGATCTTTTCAAGATTACCTTTCAAACTGCTCTTTTTCTATAATCTTTTCAATACTACTTTATGCTTTACAAGCTTGGCTGCATACCACCTACAAGTACTAAAGCCAAGGGTGTATGTGAGTGCGTTATTTGCAAGCACACAGAATGAAGAAACAGGAAGCGAAAATCTATCTGTACCTGGTGCAATGAGAGCGAAGTCGCGTTGTATACCATGGACTACTTTGTTGATTATTACTTACTTCCGAAGTACTGAGTGTGTAATACAGCGTGTTACTGTGTAAATAGTGTGTGAAAATGTACATATTGTAATTTTAGGGAATATTTAACAAGTAATATTGACGACAATAAACATTTATTGTGGACACATTACTGACACATGTATCACAGTTCCATTGAACATTATGAACGTTCTACTGCATACATATTGTAAAGGATACAAATATGCATCATATACGATAAAAAAAAACATAAAACCGCATTGGAAATACATGGAACAAATAATTGAAAATATATTTGTGGCAACACCAAGTGCTTGAATGGCCCGGGCGACCGTGTCTGGGAGCTCCACGTACGGGTGACCAGCCCCTGATGACGTCACAGCGCACCTTGTCCACGTCCCCACAGCCAATGTAAGTGGAATTTGGTATTTATTTTTACATAGACACGTTCAGGGAAGGCAATTCATCATTTTACAAAGAAAAAGAATTTTTTGGGAACACTTGTGTTCGTGCGCGATGGGGGAATTTCACAAACTTGGCGCATCACAGTGGTTAATTATCAATAATCATAATAACTACTGCATTTTAAAAAATAAACTGATTAAAGTCAGTTATTACACTGTATATTAAGCTCTACAAAATACAAATATAAATTAATATTACTGCTACAACAAAAGTAATACAGTACTCACACATGATTTACAACAGAAAGAAGAACACCAAAGATCATGTGAACAACCCCGATGATGATGGAAATCTTCATCTTATAACTGTTCTGGAAAGCAATCTTGTTCACTGCAATCTGAGAAAGCAATAAGAATAATTAACTTTGTTATACTGCGCACACAGTCATTATCATAAGAGTTCTATTAACCACTGCGCTGCATTATGACACTCACGTTGTGTGCAGGAAACAAATTATTTCCATAAAAATTACTAGAAACTCCCCCAAAGAAAAACAAGCAAACAAGCACCACCTCATCACACCTTGCGCTGCTTGTTCCAGCCGACCCCCCCCCTTCCCCACCCCACCCCTCAGGAAGTGAATAGGGGGTCCAGACCACCGAGCCAGCAGCAGGATCGTCAGTTTGGAGGCTGGAAACGGAAATAAAAACCCGCCGACTGTGAGGGAGGAAGACCCCTGGAGGTTCCATGTGCACCGCAAAAGAGCCTCCAGGGCTCTACCCAGAAAATGGCTGTGGAGGTTTTCTACTTTGCTTTCCCAACTGCAATGCGTACATCACCACCAATGTGCATATAGCAGGCGCTTCGTGAAGCTGTCGAAATCGAGTAAAGAGTAAAGGGTAGAAGAATGACGTCATGACCACGTCACGACTACGTCACTGTTGTTATTCTTCATTGCAACAGTCGAGATTGACCCCAGAAGTCAGAGCTTATCTCTCGCCTCGCTGGCATCCCCTCTCTCATGCCTGACATCTTCCACTGTGACTGTCATGAATGCTTAATTCCTCTTTATCTAATTTCCCTTGGGCATATGACGGCCTCCGCATGATACAAGTATTCCTGAATATGTGGGCATCCTGGGGGACACCTGACATGACAGTTTCCATCCAGGGTTAACAGAGATAGGGCTTGTGCATGACTAGGTGCACTGCACTGCAATGAGCCATTCAAGTCAGCTGCGAGAGAATCCTGAGAGACCATACTCTCACAATGGCGCTTCATTACATCCAACGCTGGTTTTCTGTGGGGAAGTTCACTCGGCTCCCTGGAGCTAACTACCTAAAGAGAAAAAAAAGGGACTTACCCGGGAGGAGGCTGCACCGTACAACTCATACCCAAGACGAGATACCTGGCTGCAACCGCCGACACAAGACCGCTGAGGGCCCGGTACAATTACAAGATATCGGGCAGCCAGAACCCTATTCAATCTCCAAAACCCTCGTGCCCAAATATCCAGCTAAGATGTATAGCCAAGCACAGCAGCCAAAACTATAAATGTACAAACACCATGGGGGCAAGGGTAGACTTTAGTCAGGCTTGACTTGATAACCCTGCAGACGACCTGAGAGACCTGAGCACTGGAACAGGGAACAAGCAAACCAGGTCAACAAAAAGCTCGTCACTGGAAACAGAACCCGATGTGTGCAGGTAACGGTGTAAAGCCACAACCGGACATAAAACAAGATGCACCCACGGCCTGACCAACCAACCATCAATGACCCATGGACCCCTTCGGAAGCCCACCATCTCATTCTCTGCCAGAAACAGAGGAGATGGCTGCAAACGAACAAAACAGCCACCCGAACCAAAAGAGTAAAAGCAACGAGCAACCTTCAAACTCACAAGGCGAGATGGGGCTCTAAAAGACTCATCCATCGTGATCAACAAAGTCCCGAGCACGGGGGGTTTCCAGGGACTGCAGGGAGTCGTTTTTCCTACTGCCAAAGCAGGTAGTATCCCCATAATATATTCGAGCAAACTGGCCCCTGTGAGGTGAGCAACAATGGAGGCGGAAAGGAGGACCGCCCTACTGTACCTAGGTAGCACCTAATAATTTATTTATTTATATACAAGAAGGTACATTGCGTTTATGAGAGTACAGAGCATTGAAGTTTTACATTCTTGTAAAGCCACTGGCACGCATAGCGTTTCAGGCAGATCCTTAATCTAACAGAATTTTCAGAAGGTAATTTCTAGCAAAAAATTAAAGAAATATTTACAGGTACATTGTAATAAAGTATAAAAATACATTGTAAGAAAGTATAAAAAATACACTGTATAAGGCATTTAATAGGATTAGTAGGTACATTGAAGTAAATTTAAGGGTTATCCACAGGTACTTTGTAGCATAATTTGAGGATTATTGCAAGGTTTAATGCAGTAAACTGTGTGTTCAGTATAACCAATGATTACAATGGTAAAGTTGTAAGGTTTAGGTAAAATATTGGGGGATTGGGTAGCAGTGTGAGTTACAAGCACTAGATAGGAAACTATAAAGATGAAATTTGGTACTTTTTTGTTTTATTTTTAAATAAGGCAAAAATTTGACAGTTTTTCAATTCGTTAGGAAGTGACTTCCTTAGACCAGGTCCCTTTATTTGCATCGAGCGTTTACAAAGATTAAGTTTGACTCTGAGGATATCAGAGATATTTATTTCTGGTTTGGTATGTGTTCTATTACATTTGTCCAGGAAGAGTTTCAGAACAGGGTTTGCACTTAAGAAAAGGGTTTTGTAAAAGTAATTGGCACAAGAGAATGAATGGAGTTTATATTTAACATGTTTAGGGATTTAAACAGGGAGGGGTCTGAGTGTTGTCAGAAAGCAGTTTGTTATTGTTCTGATAGCAGATTTTGCTGGGTGATGATGGGCTTGAGGTAGTTTGCAGAAGTTGAGCCCCCATGCACAGATACCATATGTAAGATAGGGATAGATTAGTGCATAGTTTAGTGAGAGGAGAGCAGAGTTTGGAACATAATATCTGATATTAGAGAGTATACCAACCATTCTTGAGACTTTCTTGGTTTTGTGTTGTATGTGGGTGCTGAAGTCCAGTCTCTTGTCTAAGTATAGGCCAAGGAACTTTGCATCATTTTTATTGCTGATGTTAACATAGTCTATCTGAAGCTGAATTGCATTTATTGATTTGCTTCCAAATAAGATGAAGTAGGTCTTTTCTATGTTTAGTGAGAGTTTGTTGGTTGACATCCACAAGAACTTTTTTTTAGTTCATTTTTTACAACATTAAATAATGTGTGTGGGTTGGGGTCTGAGTAGATGAGGGTAGTATCAGCAAATAATATAGGTTTAAGAATGTTAGAGGATGACACGATAAGAGGAAAAGGAACTGTGGCAGCCTCCCAGTCGGGCAAGAAAGCAAACTAAAGAATGAATGAGAACTCGGAGGGAGCACCACAACCCAGGGGACCCAGGGGAAGAATCACAGCCACTGTGATCATGCAAACTGAGCAGCCCAGCGCGCCCCAACCAGCAAACAACAACTCCCTACCCAGGCCAAACGAAAGTACCAGAACCTAAGCTGACCCCAAGGGGGCGAGGCAGTAAACCAAGCAGTCACTACCCGTACAGGAAAAAGGGACCCAAAGGACCCAGAGAAAAGAACTCTGAACCCCAAAGGGTGTACTCACAGGGTGCCTAGGGAAGGGAGCTTTAAGCGCATGCAGCCCTTGGTACAAACCTCCTGACAACATGCAGAAGGAACACCAGCAGGGTAGAGCTAATCGGGTAATCGAGACCAGAGGAAGCGTCCACCCAGTATACTTCAGCTGACAAACTGACGATCCGGCTGCCGGCTAGGATCGTCTCGGATCAGTCGGGGAGATTGCACTCCCTCTACCCCTCCCAGAGGCCCGGGGGAAGGGGGGGGGTCGCTGCAAACAAGCGGCACATGGTGTGATGAGGTGGTGCTTGTTTAATCATTTTTCTTTAGGGAAGTTTCTAGCCTCTGTTCGGTCTTGGGTTGCTATTTTTCTACCAGGAGGGGTCTGTTTTGACCTGCCTATTTTTGTGGGTGACCAATCCTGGTCGTTGGTAGACATGAATACTTTTATACACAAGAATTTCATAGGCCATTGTTCCCTTCGCCTCTCTGAGGGGGACCATGATCTGGCTAGTGGTCCCCAGTAAGCATGACAACTCCATATGACAGAAGCCCTGTACTAATATTAGCCAATATCAGTCCAATCAATAGCTCCAGGGAGCCGACAGGGCTTCCCCACAGAAAAAGGGGGTAAGCTTGTCAGGTCACGTTTCTTGGAAAGGTTACAGCATTTGAGTATGTACTGTGAAAGGGAAGAGTCAACAGCAACAAAGCCAGGAATAAGGTTCATGTTGGACATGTTGTGTATCAGAGCTGATTCGTCAAGATGACATTTGAAGTGTAAAGGCAAGAAAGGTTATTTTAGAAGACCAATCAATAAGATGATTAGTCTTTAACACGACAGAAGAGAGCATTGTTTATGTCTGCAGACTTAACACTTCTTTTGTGTTCCTTAAGTGACATTTAATGTACGGCCATTTCCTCAAAGTATTGGAGAAGACAGGAAATAAGTAGACACCAGCAGCATTAGAAGCAGAAGGAGCAGTATGAACTAGACAAACTATGAGTGTTAGTTTATCAAAAGACAAGCGTTAAGTCAAGAGTACAAAGGGTATTAGTGAGAATTTTTTGCTCAGATGTGAAGGGAAGGCAAAACACAGTGCTAATAGTGTTGTAAACTGGTTTGGGATGAAGGAAATTTAGTTCAGCTTGAGAATAGGTACAGTTGATAAAATTTAAGGGGTAACCAAGACGAGAGAAAGATTTGTAAATAAAGGAAATTTCAGAATCAAGAAACTGAGGCTCACTGATGCACAGAGCGTGGAGGAAGAGATAAGAACAGTTAACAGAAGGAGGATGGTAGGAAAAGAAGTGACTGTACATACCACTATGCATGGGTTTCAGTACACAGAGAACACCCGGACACAGAATACATATTGGTGGTATTACTTTCTATTATTGTCTTTATACATTATTATGAAGAGAAAAGTGACTATAATTGAGGAGGCATCTGGAACCTATCTCTTTTTTTCTCATATGTCCTCAAGTTTTGCTTGATTGAGTTTGCTACACATTTTTCAGGAATGCATTCCCTCTAATTTGAGAGTCCATGGTACTGAAATGCATTCTTTTATTCCCATACAATACCAAAAAATTTAATTGTGGATCAGTTAAACGAAAAAGTGTCTGGGATAACACCAACAAGTAGAACTCTGAGAACACTTCTATAACATCAAAGATTTTCAAAGACATACAAATGCAACAGCAAATCTTTATTATTCTAAGGAAACACAAATGTTGATGTTAAGCATCATAAGGAAAGTGTCTCCTTTAAAGTACATTATTAAACTAACTTTTCTTTTCTCTACTTAGTGATTAACTAATAAATTTTAAATTCCACTTTCTCGTCATTCTACATAACCTTTGAATATTGGGCATTTATCATTTTTAAATATTATATTAAAGTCATCATAACCTTTTTAACGATAAAATTAAAAAATAGTCAACAACTAACCTGCCACATTGGGTCATATCCAAAAGGATAAGGCTTTTGATCATATTCATCATCAAGACCAGGATCCAATGTGTACTCTTCAAGCACTGTTAGGTTTGCTAATGTAACATTGTTACCCATGTGAAAAGCAGATCCAAATATATTGGTCGATTTGGAGAAGACGTCGTTGTAAATGAAACCAGTGTAGATTGAAAACAGGCCCATGAGGAGGAGAATATAGCGGCCACCAAAGAAAATGTTCCAGATCTGAAAAACGATAAATCATAAGCCACATTACTCGAGGAAATTATAAGTAATATAAATATGTACGATCACATTACATAACAGGAATAAAATCTGTTTCTAAAGATTTGAGCCAATACATATCTTGCACACTTCCTTGGTGCAGTAAAGTATTAATGATACCTTAGTAATAAGACTTCTGAGCCCACTAACATCATGGAGGTAGGTCCATCATATCACTGTTGCTAACTATCATATTATTATATGCTTCCTTCTTACCTACCATTATCTATACTATTAAAATATTGCATGGTTTTTTTAATAATTATCTTTATTGTTTATATTACGTTTTTTAGTTTAGTTTAATTTTAGTTCTTTTTTTTGAGCATTTTGACAATTTTGGCTTTTCAGTCCTTTCTTCAACCATCTTATTTTCATTAACAAGTTTCTTACAAAGGTTAATGTAAGTGCTAACAACACTGTTGCATAATATAATACAATGCAACACTTTTGTTACTTTAAACCTCCTGCTGCAAATACTATCCCTGCATGTTTTACATGTGCTTGTTTGTGTCCAACTCTCATATCTGCCTGTTTTAAATATGCAGAAGGAATTCATTATCAAACGAAGGCACAAGCCTAGAAGACTGTTTAGCACTGCCACAGAATATTTGTAAATTCCTAGATATCATTCAGGATGTTAATGCAAAAACAAAGACCTTCACAACTCTAAGTACTTTACGGAAAAAAAGATTTATCACCAAAACAAATTTATAATGTTGATGAAATGTGCGCGTGCTGGTAGTAATAGTTAGCTACATATTCTTTAGTTCATAATATCAAACATAATTACTGCTGGCTACAGATTTTTAGAGAGATTAAGAGCATATTGTTATGCCGATGCTGTTGGTATGCACAAATATAAATTATTGGTGATTAATCCTACAGCAATAATGGATAAGCTTGCAGCCTAGGTCACTGAAGAGAAAGAAGAAATTATCAGGTCACAGTACAGAGGTAAGGTGTGACTGAGAGTACCCAGATCGCTGGTTCAAGTCACCACACTGCTTCTACTGATTATCTCATATCAGTGTTGTTATTGGATATAGACTGTAGCTCCAAGGTTTGCACAATTAGAGAAACATCTTTCATGAAAGAACGGACAAGACTTTGGTCCACCTCAACTTGTTTTCCTCAAGTAATGATGAGGATTTAAAAGGTTCCCAAAAGAAAGCATAATTTCTGAGAGAAAGCATAATTTCCCCCTAAATATAAAGGGGTCTCCTTAAGCCAGTGCACCCTGTGCCTCTCTGAGGGGACCGGGTTCCGGCTCTGGTGCCCGGTAGGCAGGACTCCATTGACAAACCCCAGACTAATATAGAGCATACCGGTCCTATAGCTCCAGGGAGCAGGAGGGGCGCCCCACAGTAAATGTATCATTTAATAACCATGTGTAAAATTATATATTTCCAGGAAAAATTAAATTGTTCTGGTTTTGTGCACATCATGAGGAAGGCAAGTGATGGGGGGGGGGTGTCAAGTGATAAGGGGGTGTCAAGTGATAAGGGTGGGTCAAGTGATGGGGGGGTGTCAAGTGATGGGGGGTGTCAAGTGATGGGGGGGGGTCAAGTGATAGGGGGGGTCAAGTGATAGGGGGGGTCAAGTGATAAGGGGGTGTCAAGTGATAGGGGGGGTCAAGTGATAGGGGGGGGTCAAGTGATAAGGGGGGTCAAGTGATAAGGGGGGGTCAAGTGATAAGGGCGGGTCAAGTGATAAGGGGGGGGTTCAAGTGATAAAGGGGGGTCAAGTGATAAGGGGGGGTCAAGTGATAAGGGGGGGTCAAGTGATAAGGGGGGGTCAAGTGATAAGGGGGGGTCAAGTGATAAGGGGGGTCAAGTGATAAGGGGGGTCAAGTGATAAGGGGGGGTCAAGAGATAAGGGGGGGGGTCAAGTGATAGGGGGGGGGGTCAAGTGATAGGGGGGGGGGTCAAGTGATAGGGGGGGGTCAAGTGATAGGGGGGTCACGTGATAAGGGGGTCACGTGATAAGGGGGTCAAGAGATAAGGGGGTCAAGAGATAAGGGGGGGTCAAGTGATAAGGGGGAGGTCAAGTGATAAGGGGGAGGTCAAGTGATAAGGGGGAGGTCAAGTGATAAGGGGGGGTCAAGTGATAAGGGGGGGTCAAGTGATAAGGGGGGGTCAAGTGATAAGGGGGGGTCAAGTGATAAGGGGGGGTCAAGTGATAAGGGGGGGTCAAGTGATAAGGGGGGGTCAAGTGATAAGGGGGGGTCAAGTGATAAGGGGGGGTCAAGTGATAATGGGGGGTCAAGTGATAAGGGGGGTCAAGTGATAAAGGGGGGTCAAGTGATAAAGGGGGGTCAAGTGATAAGGGAGGTCAAGTGATAAGGGAGGTCAAGTGATAAGGGGGGGGGTGTCAAGTGATAAGGGGGGGTCAAGTGATAAGGGGGGGGTGTCAAGTGATAAGGGGGGGGGGGGGGTGTCAAGTGATGGGGGGGGTGTCAAGTGATGGAGTGTCAAGTGATGGGGGGGGTGTCAAGTGATGGGGAGGGTGTCAAGTGATGGGGGGGGGTGTCAAGTGATGGGGGGTGTCAAGTGATGGGTGTCAAGTGATGGGGGGTCAAGTGATGGGGGGTCAAGTGATGGGGGGGTCAAGTGATGGGGGGGGTCAAGTGATGGGGGGGTCAAGTGATGGGGGGGGTCAAGTGATGGGGGGGGGGTCAAGTGATGGGGGGGGTCAAGTGATGGGGGGGTGAAGTGATGGGGGGGTGAAGTGATGGGGGGTGAAGTGATGGGGGGGGTGAAGTGATGGGGGGGTGAAGTGATGGGGGGGTGAAGTGATGGGGGGGGTGAAGTGATGGGGGGGTGAAGTGATGGGGGGGTGAAGTGATGGGGGGGGTCAAGTGATGGGGGGGGTCAAGTGATGGGGGGGTCAAGTGATGGGGGGGTCAAGTGATGGGGGGGTCAAGTGATGGGGGGGTCAAGTGATGGGGGGGTCAATGGGGGGTCAAGTGATGGGGGGTCAAGTGATGGGGAGGTCAAGTGATGGGGGGGGGTCAAGTGATGGGGGGGTCAAGTGATGGGGGGGTCAAGTGATGGGGGGTCAAGTGGGGGGGTCAAGTGATGGGGGGTCAAGTGATGGGGGGTCAAGTGATGGGGGGTCAAGTGATGGGGGGGGTCAAGTGATGGGGGGTCAAGTGATGGGGGGGGGTCAAGTGATGGGGGGGGGTCAAGTGATGGGGGGTCAAGTGATGGGGGGTCAAGTGATGGGGGGTCAAGTGATGGGGAGGTCAAGTGATGGGGGGGTTCATTGGGTTTGTGACCTTATCGTAATAATTTTGTAGTTACCATGCAGAGCAGAGGTCTGTGATCATCAAGTTAGATGCTTTATTTGTTCAATTTCACTTTAGTTTACATTGTGGAATAACCATTTATGAACACATAATTGACAAAAATATTGAGCATTGTATATATAAGCCTACAATGTAATAATGTATGCCTTTTAATACAGAAATATCTATACTGTACATAAATCCATTCCTGGCACAGCTCAAAGCAAGTGTCTTGCAACTCATACCTTTGTTGCTACCGTCTAGCAATGTTGTCCAGAAATACTAGACAATTCAAACACTGGTGGGAAAGACCAAACTGTGATTTCAAGAGAACCTAATCATATGGTATGCAATTTAAAATGATAGAATGTTTTTATGGGTCAAGGTTAAGTCCATTGCATCCATATAGTATTTACAGTCATTTGCATAAAAACTGGGCGATAACTTATAATCATATAATGAGAATTTGTTTATAACAACAAATTAAATTAGGAATCAATGCATGACAACAGCCACACTTTACTAATGTCCACTAACACATTAATTGGGATAAAAGTCTGCAATAAAATTCATATAAACTTACTACAGTGTATTTAACATTTTCAATTAAACCTCGTGTAATTTTTTTGTGTATTTCTACAGAAACTTTATCCTAGTGATATCAGAATCCTACAGCAAACTACACTTAACTTTGCAAAAGGGAACACCTAAAATACTGAATTCCTATTGAGATCCAAAGATACACTTATAATTTTAATATTTCATTCTGCAATTCTTAAAAGGCAGCCCTAAGACCATGATTACAAAAGCTCTCAAAAGTACTTACCTCACCCTTCATCTTAGCAGCAATGAGAGCCTTCTCTCTTATAACCATCCATGCAGCAAACAGCAGCATAATCATTCCATGACCAGCATCACCAAACATCACAGCAAACAAGAACGGGAAGGTCGTCGTCGTGTACAGTGCTATTTATGAAAGTAGAGAGTCATAAATCATTAGAGTTTTCACCAATTTATCAATACAGTTAAATAAGAAACCTATAAATAATGAATTAAGCATTTGAAGAAGTAACTGATGATGTAAGGGATAGAAGCTTAAGCTAAGCCTGATTTGAAAGGGTCAGATGCAAAAACTGTAATAACATCACAAGGAAGAAATTAAAAGAATACAACTAATAAAAGGAAACATGCATTGTGTCAAGTTAAATGAGAAAGCTTGGAGGTAGTGTGGTGCTACAATACTGCCACTCATTCTCCCACTACATGAAGCCAAATTAATGTTAAACATCTGCAAAAGAACTACACAGATATTTGCCCAGTTAATTCAGTTAATTTCTCGTGTTTTAGCCAAGTATTGTTTCATTAATTATTTTGTTATGATTGAAGTTATAATAGTGTTCAATTTTTCTTGTTTGTTGTTTAATCCTGTAAGTTTCATACAACAAGGGCAAAAGCAGTTTTTTTTACTTTGTTTTATTTTTTTTGTTTGATATGAGTGAGAGCAATTTGTCACTTGCGCTACTGAAACACACCACTCATTTAACGCCTTTTTCTGGTCGGTTCTCGGGGGCTCCCTGTTGTTAGCCACCCAGATAACTCCTCTCAAAGTCACACCAGGCCCTTCTGAGTCATTGTAAGCCTATCAGGGACCAGAGACCAAAACCTGGCTCCCTCTATAAAGGCACATGGGGAGCTGAAAAGAGCACTCAGATTGAGGAAAAACTATCAGAAAGGAAGAGAAAACCAAAAAAACAATTATGGAAAACTAAACAGAAAATAATCCACCCAGTACTTTTAGTTAGCTCATTCACCCTCTAGTAGCAGCTGCCCATCATCAGGTGGCAGCACAGCGAACTACTCCCCTACACCGATACAAATCCTCAGTCATGAGCAAGGCAAAGGCTATAATGACACCTGGAAGGCAAAAGTAGAGTCCAGGAAGCCACTGAGGACCCACCAGAAAGAAGAATTTCATTATATTCACAGTAGGTGTTCTGGAAGGGCTCCTCCAGTGGCATCCTGTTGCTATCTCACAACAGAGTAAAATACAAAGACAAATTCATCAATGACAGGAAAGTAAAAAAAAAACCCGTACCAGAAAAAACCCGTACCAGAAAAGGAGTAAGTGACAAGTGTGATGCACACCTAGGTCTTGCATCCCTCCCAGAGTACCACTGTCTACACCTCTCACTCATGGAGGGGGGAAGTCTCTCACTCAGCCTTGCAACCCTCGTGGCATGTGCAACTGCTTGCTTTCGGCCCTGATGCATTTGAGGGTTTCGGGGTCGAGGTTTGCCTTCTCTAACTTTGGCATGGAGGTAGTTGAGCCTGATGATCCTGCTGAGGCTTCTAGGTCCTTTTCAGCCAGCCCCAACCTTTGAAGTCTTTCCCTTGGAGCCTGCTTCTCTATCCCAGGCAGTGGGCATGGAGCGGATGCTGGCTCTGTTCTGGAGCCCTTCGTTGTGGTTCCAGGGGCTGGGGGGGGGGGGAGATCTTGAGATGATTTCGGGGCTAATCATCCCCGCGGCCCGATCCTTGACCAGGCCTCACCCCTGGGGGGGGGGGGAAGAGGGGGAAGAGTTCGCCCATAGGCCCTGTTTGATCCTTCGTGGATACTTGTTCCTTCTGTTTAGGGTCTTCTGTGAGTTGCTTTCTGTGCAGCTCCCCCCAGGGTTCACTTCTGGGTGCCCTTTGGTTCCTCTGATTCATCCATTTTGAGGTTCTGGTCTCTCACTTTCCTGGTGGAGGTTCAGGAGCCTCTGTGCTTACCTCCTGCTCAACCTGGATTTTACCTCAATTGTGATTGGATGCATTGAGAGGTTCCAGAGTCATTCTAGCTGGCAGATGCCCCTTTGTTTTTCTCTTTTCTTGAGATCCACACACAAAAAAAGGGAATTTATTGCATTTATTTTCAACTGGGAGCAGGGCTTGGTTTTGTCCATCCCACTTGCTCGAGTGGCATGCAGTTTCCATGATACAGGTTTCTGCAGGTAAAGCATTTTCTTGCGTCTCTCCATGTTTGCCTGTTTGCCCCGTTCTCCTGAGGGACATCGTGTTCCTGCATCTGCATGTTCCGGTTCCTTTGTGGTCAACTACGCTGTTGCTTTTAGACATTAACACTCGTTGCACGTGGGTACTGTCGTGCTCCTCTTGAGCCTTCTGGAGCTGTTTTTGGCTTGATCTCTATAAATGTTTATTTAGTTATCTTCTATTTTAATACATGCAATTGTAGTACATTACAGTATACCATATTTGAAAATGTCCAGGCATTTGTGGGTCTACTTTTAGCCAACAGACAGGTTTTGATTAGCGCAACTAGCAATCTTACCCCATGTTACACAATGTAAATTCTGAGATGCATATGCAACTGCAAGAACTTGCTATAAATTTAAAGTAAAAATCATACTGTAAAGCCTCCAATCTCAATAATTATAGATTAAATTCTGAGTAATGTAATTTGGTATACACAAAATCAATGAACATAATAAAGATCCGTGGGAACTATAGATAAGAACTCTAAGATACTTTAGAATTGTAAGACGTAGTACAGCATCCCTTGATTGATGAGTATGGTAGTTTCACAAAGACCAAACATCATGATATAATGAACAGAAAAGCCAAACTAACCTGGGTTGATTTCTCGGTAGGATGCCACTCCATAGGAATCAACCAAAGCTTGAAAGCCAGATGTGAATTTGTTTGTCCTATGGAAGGTTGGTGGCATCATGGTAGTTTGCATGCAATTCAGAATAGGCTGCACAGAACTGCCCGATTTCTCCTAGAAATTTACCAAAGTATGAGTACTGATTAATTACATGAAATTCCATCCTCTGGTGCAAATGACTGAAGAGTAAGACCCCCATGAGAGACTCTTCTGTCAGGCTATCTTAGCTATAGTGTGATGACTTAAATCTTAAGGCAAAATCTGATAGAATAAATGCCAAGTAATTAACGCAAACTGTGGTTATTGTCATAGGCTGATTCACAGGCTAAAGCAATTATCATATGTTGATTTTTACTATTATTGTCAGAGTTTTTCATGAATGATGCCAAGAAGATTATCGTGGTAGAGGAGCTTATCTTGACAAAACCTCCTCCTATCATTTCATGATTACTTACTATGCAAATGTGGTTATTGTTGCCAATGTTACTATGCCAAGTCATAGTAACACTATTCAATTTTATTATAATTATGATGACCAAACCACACATCAGAAAATGGAGAAACAATGATGTTCCCGCCAAACACACACCGAGACTACAACGTTGGTACAATGTTCGAGTAAGTTTTAACACCTAACCAGTTATAACAACCAATATACCAAGTTGTAACAACGTTCTAATACGTCATAAACACGTTAAGCCAAGATGTAACAACTTTATTACAAGTTGTAATCAGCGGAAATTAGAGACAGTTTCGGTGTGTGTTTCCAGGGTTGTCCATCCTGGGCCATTATCAAGTCATAATAGAAGAGAGGAAGATACAGCCATATACAAGACAAGAAAGTAAGGCAAGAGGTGAGGAGCAGGTAAGAGAAAGGTAAGCTGATTTAACTGAGGGCCTTGACAAAGACAGGAAGCCGGCGGCTTGTTGACGGTCCCCCAATTTGCTTGATCTTTCCCAGGAAGATTTTAAATCTTAACACAATTTTGGCATTTACAGCTTCAGCTGGTAGGCAGTTCCAATGCTTCTCCGAGACATCCTCCAAATTACACACAGAAATCACAGTAGTGTGATGTGTCAATGAACAAATCCACAAGGGCCGTGATGAGGATTCGAACCTACGTCTGAGATGATCCCAGACGCTGCCTTAATCGACTGAGCTACGACATGGTCAAAAGGAGTTGAAACCGAAGTTCTACTGAACTTACTGGATCCTGCAGCCTCTCCAAGAGACAAACCAGGGTTTTACACAACTCCCCCCATGCACATGAGCTATGTTAATAGCCCGTTCTACCTCTTCGCCCTTACTTCATTACAGGTTTGTATCTCGGAGAGGCTGCAGGATCCAATAAGTTCAGTAGAACTTCGGTTTCAACTCTTTTTGACCATGTCACTAAGTGGGCAGTTGTAGTAAACTGAAGCAGGTCGGCCTGTGTGACTGGGAACCACGCGCTCGGTCGACCCAAACGTGTACCAACAAATATCGTTAGTCGGCGACACTATCTTAAGTCGAGTCGCATTTTTTTTTATCAAATTAACATCGTAACCCGAAATTATCGTAAGTCGAGGTGCCACTGTATTTATTCAGTGTTTTTGTTGCCCTATCATTATCCAATATAACTTACTTAGTCTCATAGTTTAGGGGTCCTACAGAGCCCTTTGTTTTGGTTTTACTTACTATATACTATATATGCATAGAATGATTTTGGATCTTTTATGTTTTGAGCAAGTTTTCTTTCATATACATGATTTGTATACACGATACAAATTATTTGTTTCTGATAAACGATTTGATGTTGGCATCACCTTCATGAAGATTTCGTTTTGGTTATCAATCTTCAGTGTGTTTAGGGGCTCACTGAAAACAATCTTATTGTTGCCTCAGTATTTTGTTCATTACTTTGTCATCTGTGAAATTTCAATTTCCTTTGAGCAGAGACCCAATGCTAGATGTATTATTTGTTCTAGACTTTGCATAGGAGTAAGTATTTTGAATTCCTCTCTCTTTCACTGATGGGTCTTTGCTCTCTGTCTCTCCTGGATTTGATATGATTCTTGTAGCTTTAGTTCAGCTGTTTCTATTTCTCTACATAGCCTTCTTGGTCGTTCTTCAGATAAGGTGGGACGTTCAAGTTGTTCATATAAAGTGTGGGTATACAGTACAACACCAAAAATATTGTGTTTTACTGTTCAAAACAAGCAATATAGTACACATTTTAGTGACGAATATATTTGAGCATGCTGATGTCCTACATATTTTATTGTGTAAATTTCTTATGACACACTATTGAATACCATTATTATTATTATTATTATTATTAAAAAAAAATAATTAGAAACATTGGAATAAATATGTAAAAAATATCTTTGCGGCATCTCCTGCCTGGCTCTGAGTGACTGCCCGAGAGCGGTTGTTGTTCCATGAACACTCATGAAGCATCATGTCATCAACACTTCCCGGCTCCCGCCTGGCTCTGAGTGACTGCCCGAGAGCGGTTGTTGCTCCTTGAACACTCATGAAGCATCATGTCATCAACACTTCCCGGCTCCCGCCTGGCTCTGAGTGACTGCCCGAGAGCGGTTGTTGCTCCATGAACACTCATGAAGCATCATGTCATCAACACTTCCCGGCTCCCGCCTGGCTCTGAGTGACTGCCCGAGAGCGGTTGTTGCTCCTTGAACACTCATGAAGCGTGATGTCATCAACACTTCCTGGTTCAGTCAGTTTTTGTATTATTTTTCCCATGATCAGGTAATGCACTTTAACAATATTAGAAAGAAAAAATTTTTGAATTTGTATTTCTTGTGCACTGAGGAGTTGTCAGCTATTAATAGGTGTGAAGCCCAGGGGTTAATGTTTGTCATTACCCAAATGAATTTTAGTTTAATGTTCAAATATTAACAAAACACTCAAAAAATTAAAACAAATTCTAAAATAAAACAAATTATTGTACAAGTATTATTGTTAGTCAATAACTAAACTAGACACATAATAAAAAATAAAAAAATACTTGCAAACTGTGTCAGTACCTAGATGTTATTGTCAAATATCACATTCTCTGGTATAAAATCCAGACAATTATACAGTAGTTTAAATCAACGTATCATGATAACCACATTAATCTTTTAAATCAATATAAAATGACAATAACTACACCGAATTAAAAACCAAAACAATTACCGTTCCCTTGCGAAGACCATCTTGGATAACACCAAGGTCTGAACATGGTACCCAACACTCTGCAATCAGACACTTGTTGGTCACATCCAAGTTCAGCATGTTGAGGGTGTGGTAAATAGCCTTAATCTTTCGCACCTTGATGAACCATGTACGCAGGTGTTTGGCAGCAGCAGCCAACACGCGGTGCCTGTGGTCGGTTGTTTGGTTCAGTACCTGAGAATTTGAAATGTTGATGGATTATAACAAATTTGAAGTAAACTTAAAACAAGATTTACAATCTCTCTCTAGTTACTCTCTTCAAGCCTAAAATATAAATATCATCATCTAGTGTTTGGATTTACAACCTTAACAAAACTGAGTTAATATTATAAGCAAAATTCTTTTCTAGTAACTCAAAACATGTAACTACACGTTTCTAGTAACACTCAAACTGCCCCTCTACAGTTAATTAATGGCTGTCATTTTGTTTGGTATCTATTTTCTTTTCAGGTTTGATAGGCCATCTCTGAAGAGGCTCTGTTGACAGCACATGGGAGGTATTGAAGGAGGCCTTCCCAGAAATCAAGCATATTATGTAATAACAAAAATTAAGAAAAATGCAGAAGGCCTATTTTTCTTCCAATACATTGCCAAACTAATTCATATACAGAGTACATGTCTAACCTACACATGAAATTATCAATTTATCCAACATCTAGGAAATAAGGAAAGCAAAAAGAAATTATGACGTTTGTATAGCAGGGCAAGCAAAGACAAATCCAAAAGGGTTTGTCAGTTAAATCGAACAAAGATTAGGGAAAGGATAGAACATAAGAATGAAGGTAACGGCAGGAGGCCTATTGGCCCATACAAGGCAGCACCTATTTATATCTACCCAATCTCATTCATATATACGTTTGACCTATGCTCGAAACAATTGAGGGATCCTATTTCCATTATGTTACGCGATAATTTGTTCCACAAATTAACAACCCTGTTACCGAATTAGAATTTACATAGGTCCTCCCTAAATCTAAAGTTATCCAATTTATACCCATTGTTTCATGTTCAATTTTGTGTTGATCCTTATAATAATACCCTATTAATATCCCCCTTTGTTATGCCCATTCATCCACTTGTTAGGGGTGACATGACTATCATGTCACCCCTAACTTTTTGCCTTTCTAGAGAATGTGATTTTAAGCTTTGTCAATCTTTCTTCATATGACAGGTTTCTAATTTGCTGGATTAACTTTGTCATCCAACACTGGACACATTCTAGTGAATTTATATACGTTCTATAATATGGAGACTAAAACTGAACTGCATAATCTAAATGGGGCCTAACGAGAACAAGATATAGCTGAAGAGCAACACCAGGTGTCTTATTACCAATGCTTTGATAAATAAATCCCAGTGTCCTATTTGCCTGTGTGTGTGTGTGTGCGCGCGCAGTATGAGAAGAATTGCAAAGTTTTGCTGAAAAGAGTCCCCGAAATCAAATAGTAGCAGGCTGTTGAGTTAACCTTTTTAATGACAATGATGTCTCGCTTCAGACAAGTGTTACAACGTACGGAAAAACAAGTATTGCTAGACATGTTTTTAGTGAGAAAAACAAGCAGTGAGCCACAAGCAGGTCCAAGTGGTATGAAGGCAAAACGTAGGAGAAAATACTCCAGAAAAGTCATCACTGCCTGATGTTATAATGGAAGGGCACTCCCCTTCCAAACACTAACACCTCTCCTCCTCACTATCTTCCATGTGCCAACAAGAAGCCTCATTCAAGATATACCTACTGTATTGTAGCAGGTACAAAATAAGTGTTCGGTATAAAATGTATTTTTGAGTTAGTATTTTTGGAGTGTGGAATGGATTAATTCAATTTACATTATTTCTTATGGGAAAATTTGTTTTGGTTGATGTGTCTCTGGGAACAGATTACTAGTGTAAACAAAGGTACCACTGTATTTAATAAATTATTAGAGTCAGGCAGAATGCTGGAATCATGGAGAGCTCCTAATGTGGTACCAGTTGTCAAGAAAGGCGATAGATCACTTGCGTTGAACTATTGACCAATTAGCTTAACCTTTAAAATTTGTTTTAATCTATAACTGGAAAAGTCATTCATTTTTCAGCTTGAAAAACACAGATTAATAAATGATTTACAACATGGTTTTACTAACAGCCATTCGTGTTTACAAAATTTGCTATAATTTTATTTCAGCACAGTTGAGGCAGTTGATAGTGGTAAAGTTTGTGATGTGTACCTTGACTTTACCAAAGCTTTTGATACAGTGCCACATCAAAGATTGATTAAAAAATAGAGGCACACAGTATTGGGGGTGCTATATTAAGTTGCATTAGGGCATAGCAATACCAAAGGAAACAGTTGGTATAAATGGAGCTAAGTTAGAGTGGGAAAAGGTGTTGTCAGTGTCCCCATTATTTCTTATGGGGAAATTAGCTTCGGATTACGAGCTGTCTCCTGGAACGGATTAAACTCTTAAACCGAGGTACCCCTGTAATGGGAAATGAATTAATCTGTTCCTGACTACCTAAAAATCTCACTTCAAACTAAATTTTATACCTAACTCATCGAAATCTACACTACAAAAGTATGTTCAAGTTATTACTTACCCTTGCTGATGACTGCTGTTGGTGTATGGAAGATGGTGAGGAGGGGGGAAGGAGGTGTTATTGTTTGGGAGGGAAGTCCCCTTTCATTATAACATCAGCCAGTGAGGACCTCTCTGGAGTGCATTCTCTGGCATGTTTTGCCTGCATACCACTAGGTCCTGGTTGTGGCTCACTGCTCGATCTTCTCACAACAAAGCGGTCCATTGAAGATTGTTTTTCTCTTCTTCGCAAGATTTCTTTATAGTGAGGCATCACATAGTCATTGAAAAAATTAATGCAACGACGTACTACAGCTTTCTCTGGGCAAGTCGTTTCAATAAAGGTTTGCATTTCTTCCCACTTCTGACACCATTTCTTAATGGTTGCAGAAGGGACATTTTCTACTGCCTCATCCTCCTCCACTGAAGAAACATCCTCAGCTGTGTCTTCTTTTGAAGGGCTTGGAGTTCTTCGGTGGTCAGTTCTTCATTGTGTTCTTCCACCAACTCCTCCACATCAGCACCATCCAATTCCAAGCCCATTTTCCAGCCCAGAGTAACAATTTCCTCAACAATAGGCACTTCATTTACAGGCTCAAATCCCTCAGTCTAGTTCTGACACACATTCAGGCCACAATTTTCTCCAGCCAGAGATCAGGGTTCTTTGAGTCACTTCTTGCCAGGCTTTGTCAACAAGTTTTTAAGCACTACAAATGTTAAAATGGTCTTTCCAGAACTCTTTGAGGGTGAGGTTTGTGGCTTCAGTCACTTCAAAACATTTTTGGAAAAGTGCCCTTTTATAAAGTTTCTTAACCCTTAACATGCTCGGGGTCTAATATCCTGCTATCCACACAGGCGCATGTCATTTTGAAAAAAAAAAAAATTTTTTTTTTTTGCTAATCTGTTAAGTTCTGTTCACTGATCACGGGAAAAATAAAAAAAAATTCTATTGTACTTACTTTTGTTGCAATAGAGCCGAGAAGCTCGGTGATGACGTCACAATCTGCATGTTCGCTCATGCACTACACGCCCGGGAGATGTTGCGCGCGGTCCTCAAACAGCCAGAGTTGCCACAAATATATTTTCGCGCTATTTATTTACAATGTCTAAGCGCATTTTATCTAATTTTTTTTCACTAATTGTGTTTCAAATACTGTTTGAACATATTTTGTATCAATAATTGTTGCATATTTGAGTATACACAGGCGCACACAAATGTTTTCAATTACGGCAATATAATATGTCATTACAGTCTATTATATTATATGTTCTGCTTATATGTTTACATATTTACACACTCGCACACGCTATACACACTTTGAAGCACACTTAGAAGATTTCTAGACTGTGGTAGTCATTGAAGCAGTCGACAGCACATAATGGGATACCACACGTTTCACACCATGTTTGCACAAGCTTCCGTTTCTTGTCTCTACGTGTCGTTGTTTTACACACCAAGCAATCACGTTGGGCTATTGCACGCTTCACACCAGGTGGCAAATACTTAAGTTTGTGTGCTAGGAAGCCTTCAGTGTGAGCGAGGCGTGGAGTACCAGCATGCTGCAACAGTGGGTTTATGATGGGCCGCTGAATACCTGGGACATCTTTTGCAAACTTTCCTAATAACTGTATTGCAGCATCAAATACAAAGTCACGGAAAGTGGGCTTACGTCCAGTTCTCACAAGGTACATGTTGAAACAGTTCAGCATGCTCATGTCCACAAGATGGAAGAACACTTTTTTCGTCCACCTACATGTCTTCCGCACACACTCTGCAGTGCCAATCATCATGTCTGATTTATCAATCAACCGCATGTTGATATTATAGTCTAAAACACAGTCTGGCTTATATAGTGGTGCGTTTGTTTTATGGCTCACTTTCCCACTGTTCACCATTGTTCCATCATGAAATGTTGTCAACAAGTTCACCTCTCTTTTGTCTTTCCACCAAACTGACAGAATGTTATCACTTTTCCTTCTCTGACACTCACCAACTGCAATGCCGTTGTCAAACACAGGCATTTCCCTTCGTTGTGGCTTTACTGTACCAACCAATCCGGTTCTATTTTCTAGCAAGAACCGAGCTAGCAAGGGACTTGTATAGTAATTATCTGTGTATAAAATGTGTCCCTTGTTCATCCACGGAGCCATGATGGTCTTCACTACACTCCCTGAGAATCCATGTTCGTCGTTACCGGGAATGTCTACATCACTAGCCGAGTACAGAATCATGTGTAACACGTATCCTGTCTCACAATCACAAAGAACAAAAAATTTCAGGCCAAATCGGTTTCGTTTTGAGGGAATGTACTGTTTGAATGGAACACGTCCCTTGAAAAGTATGAGAGATTCATCAACCACCAGCTTCTGTGCTGGTACGTAAAAATCTCTGAATTTTCCAATAACATCGTTCATGTAGTGCCTCACTCGCCACAGTCTATCATCAGGTGTTCGGTCCTGAACACTTCCAAAATGTAGACACCTGAGGAGTATCTGAAACCTGTCTCGTGACATATATTTCCCGAATAAAGGTGTTGGTATTGTCTTGTCCTTGCTCCAATAGTCATTTATTGCATGTTTGTGACAGTGCTTCATCAACAAACAGTGCCAAAAACACATACATTTCCGCAACTGTGGTATTTTTCCAACGCTGCAGTCGTGAAAATTCTGTGATTTCCCTCTCAATCAGGTAAGCAGCATGCAGGTTCGTTTGGTGTACAATGTATTCCATGAGTGGTTCATCATAGAATGCTGTAAAATATTCCATCTCAGCCATGTCCTCACCTTGATTAGGGAAAAGGTTTGTAATCCCTACATCTTTATCGTCAAAGTGAGGAATATTAGGAATAAAATCGTCACCATCACTCCACTCAAGTACACCAGGCGTCCTGCGAGATGCAGAGGAAAGACGGCGAGGAAGCGATGCATACCGGCGACCAGAAGCTGAATACCGTCTGCGAGAAGCACGGCGGCTACGTGCACGTGAGGTGGGTGCACGTGAACACGAGGGTCTTGGTCCCTCATGTGGTGCCATGCGGTGGCGCTTGGCCGGGCGAGATGCTGCTGACGCGACAATTTCTCGCCCAGTTACACCACTGGTACCAGCCACAGGCTTAATAAAACTTTGATCTGAGTCACTAAACCCAGAAAAGGAGTCACCTCCCTCTGACTCGTCACCCTCAAACAGAAAATATCCACAGGAACTGTGAGGTCGTGGTAGAATTGGGGTAGAAAATGGGCGAGGAGGCATGGGAGAGCGTATAGGCCTCGCCATGGCATGGCGGTCATTCTCACTTTCACTGCTGCTGCTACTATCACCCGACAACTGTGTATAATCCTCATCGTTGTCTGAATCGTCAAACACACTTTCTTCACCTTCAGAGAATAATTCGTGGGCTATTTGCTCTGGGGTGAGGGACTGAGTGGTGCGTGCCCGTGAGGCGTTTGACCGTGCGCTCGCCATGGTGACTCTCGCTAAACTGAGGCCTCCCATGCCATCGAATCGTGAGCTGGATTTTTTTTCAAAATGGCCGCTGTTTACTAGAGCCCCTGGGCAGCGTATGGGACCCCCAGCTACACCGCGGGCCATTCAAATCGTGCGCGGTACCCATACACTTCATATGAAGTAAAGCGCAGTTGACTGGTAAAACGATTTACACTTCATATGAAGTGATGCGCACTTTAAGGGTTAAAATTAATTCACTATGATTTTCTGGTCCATAGACTGAATTAGAGGAGTGGTGTTAGGAGGAACTTTACTGTGAAAAAATTACTGTATCTGTGCAACAATTCATCTTCTAAGCCTGGAGGATGAGCAGGAGCCTTGTTGAGGAGAAGGCTCATTTGCATTGAGAGGCAAATGTTTCTCCTGCAGATATTTTTTCTATTGCAGGGCACAGCACTTCATTCACCCACTCCGAAAAAAAAATCCTAGTCACCCATGCCTTATTATTAGCCCTCCACATCACACACATTTGGTTTTTCTGAACTTAATACTTTTTGAAAACCCTTAGATTTTCAGAATGATATACAAGCAAGGGTTTAATTTTCAAATCACCACTCGCATTTGAACACAGCACAAGCGTAAACCTATCTTTCATAGGCTTGTGTCTGGGCAATGATTTTTCCTCCTTGGTAATATATGTCCTCTTAGGCAATCTTATCCAGAACAGTCCTGTCTCATCACAATTAAACACTTGTTGCAGAAGGTATTCCTCAGCCTCTGCAAACTCTTTAAATTCTTCAATAAATCTTTCAGCCGCTGGTTTGTCTGAGCTGGCAGCCTCCCCATGCCTCAACACTATGAATACCACTTCTTTTTCTAAATTTTTCAAACCATCCCCTGCTTGCCTCAAAGTCTATCGTATCTGCACTCGTTCCAGGGGTTTTCTTTACAAGGTCTTCGTGCAATACCCTGGCTTTCTCACAAATGATGGCCTCTGAAACACTATCACCCGCTAACTCCTCCTTGTGTATCCAAATTAACAACAACTTTTCCACTTCTCCAAGTATTTGTGGTCTTTGTTTCGTGATTGTTGATATGCTTTTGCCACTTTAGCACTCAATGTCCTTTTTCTTGGCAAGTATAGTGCATATCGTTGACGTGGATTTGTTGTACTGCCTACAAAGTTCAACAATATGTGCACCATTTTCATGCTTCCGAATTATCATTGTTTTTCCTCTATTGTCATCCTCACATGCGATTTCTTGCCTTGAGCCTTACCATTGGCTTTCTTGGGACCAATTGCGAGATATATAATAACTTTTATGTTCAAATGGCCAAATATCCAACAAAACACTGTAAATCCTGGTGAAGAATTCAGGCGGGATAGTCACTGGGCGCGAGACACTAGTAAATTGAGGGGTGATCGCCGTGCCACCACGCGCTAGATCCTATGTGTATCGACACCCTCGTATCCAGATGCAAATTTTCGGAGCAAATCCTGCTTGTAACCCGAAAAACTCGTAACTAGAGATGCTCGTAATCCGAGGTACCACTGTAATTATACCTATATATTTTTTTGGGGGGGGGTTATTTTTTCTTGGCTTCATTTCAACACACATTGACCTACAACTTTCACATTCGAGTACGAATGCCAAACAATGTTTATTAAAACATATAAATAAATTAATGAATAAGAACTACCTTATTCCTTGTCAGTTGTCACTTCAACTTCAATTATCTCAAACTATTGTTTAAACTTTAGTCAGCATAAAAAAATCCAGTTTCTGACCAATTCTCATCATTTTTACATATAGTGTGCACAGCTATCTGTTCTACAATCCCTGTAGAATGGATTTTTCATAATCCCTAAACGTTAGGAGTCATAAATTTTGTCTCTAAATTTGGAGCAAATTTCAAATGGGATATTGAAAAAAATGTTTACAGTAAACTATACTGAAAACCTATATTCTAAATCCATGAAAATGAAGATCATATGCTATTCTGAGAGCATAACACCACCAAATGAACAATTGGTGATATTTTATATTTTTGCAGCTGATTTCAAAATCTGAAGTTTTCAATATTAAATTTTTGAATTATTTTTTATTTTCTTGTTTTTCAAGTTATGATGGTGATCATTTAGACAAAGTTGGAGCATTTGTTAGTAGATTATGCACAAAATATTTGAAAGCCTTTGAGCAAGTCTCAGAAACCGAGTTATATGCCCCATCGCCTATGTAGGTATTGCGCAGCTTAAGGTTTAACGACAATGTGATGTCTCACTACAGACAAGTGATAAAACACAGGGTAAAACAAGTGTCAAAAGACGGGTTTTTGGCGAGACAAGACAAGCAGTGAGCCACAACCAGGTCCTAGTGGTATGCAGGCAAAATTTAGGAGAGTACACCCCAGAAATGTCATCACTGCCTGATGTTATATTGGAAGGGAACTCCCCTTCCAAACACTAACACCTCTCCTCCTCCCCACCCTCCTTGCCATCTTCCATACGCCAACAAGAGTCCTCAATAAAGGACATTAGGGGGCATGTCTTATGTAATAGCAGCACAGTACAGTGTTAAGGATAGGTTTGTGTGAAATGACAAACAAAATTGACAGGTTCTTACTACTGAGAGATCATCCAATCTTCCCTTGACACCTTGGCCCATTTCCTGACGATCTTGTTTTGACTCGGGGCACGGGTACGTTGTGGCACGACAACCATCACAAATCTTCTTCACTTTATTCTTCAGCTGTTCTCCTTGGAAAAAGATTAGGAACACAACCTTGTGTACTGCTTCCCCCTGTAAATGATAAAAGATTTTTCATGTAAATTCCATTCATTGCATTTAACAAGCAACATTACTTACTAGCACACTTATATTGAACTAACATGCTTCCAAATTTGTTGATATATATACCTACACATCCTTTTTGCCTCCATAATTTTCATTCATTTCTGATCACAACTAACCCTAAGCTTCCCACCACTGATTTTTCCCATTAGCATGCCCACTCACACCTAACAAATCAATCTACATTTATATAATTTACTTTCAAATCTTCTTTGCTGCCCTTCTGTTATATTTACAATAAATGCACTCCAGTTCCACATCAAGTCCCTTCCAAAGTCACACCACCGTTTTACCTTGTTTTCCTCTACCCCCAAGGATGGGTGCGAGTGTTTTCCTCTACCCCAAGCACGAGTGCGGGCATTTTCCTCTACCCTAAGCACAGGTGCGAGCGTTTTCCTTTACCCCAAAGCACGGGTGTGGGTGTTTTCCTCTACCCCAAGCACGGGTGCGGGTGTTTTCCTCTACCCCAAGCATGGGTGCAGAACAGTAGCAGAGTGCAGCAGTACAGTACACCAGAAAAATGTAGTGCCAATATTCAAGAAAGAAGATGGACATGAGGCACTAAAATGCATTCCATGTAAAATACTGAAACACATTTTTAGGATTAGAATTTTAGAACATTTGGAGAAAGTAAATTTTGAAACTGAGGCACAAGACAGATTCAGAGGGGAAAAATAAACAAACTTGACTGAATTTTAAGACAGGGTCACTGAAATAAGGCTCAAGAGAATGAAGGATGGATAGACAGTATCTTCCTAGACTGTCAGAAAGCTTTATTCAAAGTTCCTCTCAAAAGACAGCACACAAGATGAGTGGATAATACACAATAATACACAAAATGAGTGGAGACACTGTCTTAGATAAGAAGTACCTAACAAAGAAAAAGTGTCAATCAGAGAGGCTATGTCAGGCTGGCTAGTGTAGAAAGTGGGGTTCCCAGGGCTCCAACCTAGAACCATTGCACTTTCAAATTTATGTAAATGACATGCCAGGAATGAGATCATATGTCATGGATTGCAGATAATGCAAAGTTAATGAAGAGTAAGAACTGAGGAAGATTGTACATCACTGCAAGAAGACTTCTCAAACATCAGAAGGCATAAATGGCTGCTAGAATTCGATCCAAGTAAGTGTAAGTTAATGAAGATGGGAAAATGAGACAGGTGATAAATGTAACTACACCATAAGGGAAAGGCAACTACCACATTAAGAGTAATAATAACTAGGTAGCAATAACTCCTAATACTAACACCAGAAACTCATTTCAACTCAATAACATCAGTTACACATGAATATTTGGCAAACACGAGACCAACACTTCAGAATCTGAACAAATCCACAAGGGCCGTGATGAGGGTTTGAACCTTCATCCAGGATGATCCCAGACACGCCTTAGTCGATTGCGCTATGGCATGGTAAAAAAATTGCAACTGGAAGTGCTACTGCCCCCCCCCCCCAGATCCCGAAGCCTCTCCGAGACACAAACTGGGGTTTTACACAATTCCCCCATGCACTATTGTAATTTCTATTGTGTATGTAAGGGCAAAGAGGCAGAACAGCTTGTGGACAGAGCCCGGGTGCCTGGAGAAATAATGTAAAACCACGGTTTGTCTCTCGGAGAGGCTGAGGGATCTGTGTGGGAGCAGTAGCACTCCCGGTTGTAATTCTTTTACTATGTCGTGACGCAATTGACTAAGGCACATCTGGGATAATTCTGGACGTAGGTTCGAACCCTCATCACGGCCCTTGTGGATTTGTTCATTTGATGTATCACGCTATTGTGGTTTCTGTGTGTATTTAAGAATCTAAACAAATTTTTTTAAGTCCATATACTCTGCTTATGTGAGACTATTACTAGAGTATGCAGCACCAGCATCGAACCCATACCTCACGTAGTGCAATGGGAAATTTGGGAAAGAACAGAGGTGTGCAATAAGATTAATACTAGAATTAGAGGTGTGAACTTTGAGGACAGTTGACCAGACCACACACTAGAAGGTGAAGGGACGACGACATTTTGGTCCGTCCTGGACCATTCTCAAGTCGATTGTGAGGTTGAGTTCTGTTAACCTGTCCTCAAGGCCCCTTTGAGGACAGGTTAACAGAACTCAACCTCACAATCTTAGAGAGAAGAAATGAAGGGTGTATGATCAGCCCATACAAAATACTGAGGGGAAAAGAATGTGGAAAAGGATAGCCTATTAAAATTAAAAATAATGTTGGACAACGAGACACTAGTCGAAGTCACACACACAATCAAGCCAAAGATATAAGGCAATTCTCATACTCTGTACAGGTCGCTAGAATGTGGAATGCATTAGAGTTGTCAAAGCCACTTTTGTCCAAAATTTTAAGAGAAAATACAATATAATTAACTCGAAAGTTGAAGGATGTAATTAACATAGCAGGTATAAATGGCAAAGAGACAAGGTAGTCAGAGCAAAGTCTAACTGTCACGTAGTCACAGGCAGGTAAGCAAACTTTCTCGGGTAAACAAAAAACATGTGTCAAGCTCTTGTATATATCTAAAAAAAAAAAAAAAAAAAATTAAAAAAAAAAAAAAAAAAAAAAAAAAAAAAAAAAAATTGCCTTGCTGCTTGGCAAATAGCACAGGTCTCTGGAAACAAGTGAATCTGTCAACACCCACTATAATGAAGGAACCGTAGTTCCAAGTTTAAAAAACTATAAATTGAAACGGTATCAGTGTAGCAACAAGGCCACTAAGAAAATGGGGGAGGAGACTTGCTAAATAAACAAGTTATCTCACACCAAAGTGCTAAGATCTAATGACTAAATAGGGGCTATGATGGTGTCCGTAGCAACATCATGATGGTCCAGGACATTTCAGTCCGTCCTGGACCATTATCAAGTTGATTGTGATGAGACGAAGGAAGCAAGGGCAATAAATAGGCAAGAGAGGTGTGAGGAGAGGGAAAACTTAAGAGAAAGATAAGTGCAAAGCAAATGGTACGGAAGGTAAGGTGTAATAAAGGGAGTAATAATAGGAATAAGAAAGGGATTGTAAGAGAAAACCAGGAAAAAGAAAAAGATAAAAGGAAGGGTAGGCTTATGTTAGGTCACGTTTGTTAGAAAGATTAGAATATTTGAGTATATACTGAAAAAAGGAAGAGTCAACAGCAACAAAGCCAGGACTCAGGTTCATGTTGGGCATGTTGTGTATCAGAGTTGATTCGAAAAGATGGTGTCTATGTAGAGTATAGGCAGGAAAAATTATTTTGGAGAAAGACCAATCAATAGGAAAATTAGAATCTCTAACATGACAAAAGACAGCATTTGTGTTTGTGTCATTTGTTTGTTTGAGAGCATTTGTTTTGTTTGTGCAGAGTTTGTATCTTCTTGTTGTTGTTAAAGATTCGCTACCTGGAACACAAAGTTCCAAGTAGCACGGGCTATGGTGAGCCCGTAGGCCTTAGTTTGTATCTGCAGACTTAACTCTTCTTATGTGTTCCTTAAGTCTGTCATTAAGTGTACGGCCAGTTTCACCGAAGTATTGGAGAGGACAAGACAAACAGGAAATAGAATAGACACCAGCAGCATTAGAAGCAGCAGCAGTGTGAACTAGTATGCTACGAAGAGTGTTAGTATGTCAAAAGGGGAGCTTTATGTCAAGAAGACGAAAGGAATTAGTAAAAGTTTTGAGTTCAGATATGAAGGGAAGGCAGAGCACAGAGCTACTAGTGTTGGAAGCAGGTTTTGGAGGAAAGAAATTTCGTTTAGCTTGAGAATACACACAGTTGATAAAATGTAAAGGATAACCAAGGCGAGATTAAGATTTGAATATAAAGGAAATTTCAGAATCAAGAAACTGAGGGTCGCTGATGCGTAGAACGTGAAGGAGACACACACTAGGACACTTTTCTTAACAGGAGGAGGATGGTAGGAAAAGAAGTGAATGTACATGCCACTATGCATGGGTTTGCGGTAGACAGAGAAAGAGAACCCGGACACAGAGCTGTGAACGTGAACGTCACGAAAAGGAAGGAGGGAATTAGATTCTCATTCAACTTTGAAATGGATGGTAGGAGCCAGATTGTTGAGAGAGGAGAGGAAAGGCTGGAAAAGATCAAGGTCATGAGGTCATAAAGCAAAAATGTCATCAATGTAGCAAAGTCAGAGAGAGGGACGAGTATCAATAGAAGGAAGAACAGTTTTGAAGTATTCCATCTAGAGACTGGCAAGAACAGGGGAGGGAGAGAGAGGGGAACCCATAGCAATACCGAATTAGAAATATTTAAGCTTAAAATATTAACCCCTGACCTTAAAATATTAAGGTCAGCTATGGAAAGCCAACCTGTTTTGACTTATGAGAAGTGAAATGGTCTGCCTGGACATTGGGAAAAAATTTACATTTATATTAATTGAAAAGAAGACAAGTTAATTCAATTATCTTACTGTCACAGGATCTTCTAGAGGTTCATGGATTTCAGACTGGCGAACGAAGACGTTGCCACGGCAAACTCGCCACAGCATGCGTTCAAACATGGGCATTCTCTCTCGTCTTGTCACACCAGCAACAAACCTAAAGGAGAAATGCTTGGTCATACACCTATTTCAACTATTTCTTAATATTGCTGAAATACCATGTACATTACTTAACAGAGTACTATACATATAAAATCTGTTATTGAAATTCAAATTATACACTGACCTCACCAATTTAAACTTTGGTCAATTGCCAAAATCATAAAGTTAGACCATCTTTCAATTCATGGAAAATAAAAAATGCAGGGCATAGAGGTCAAATTACTCATCAATGTGCACTATCCTATGTTTAACCCTTAAAGTGCGCATCACGTCATATGACGTGCTGGACGTTGTTCCAGTCAACTGCGCATCACGTCATATGATGTGTTGGAGTACTACACAAGATTTAAACAGCCCACGGATACACGGGGTTCACCACACCTTCATCAGGGCTCTTGTAAACAGACGCCATTTTTAAAAAAAAATCGTAGGCCAAACTCCCGGGTGTTATTGGCCTCAGTATTGAGTGAGCAACCAAGCCTGACGCACGCAGCATGAGCTAACAGCACTGCTGTTCAGCTTGTGACCACAGCATCGCCTAAAAATGCCAAATTATACTTGTTCATGCTATTATGTAGCGATGATATTAGTACAGAAGACCCCTGACTATGATAAAACTGACCAGGGTTCTGATAATAGCAGGATTGTGGTGATATTTAGCGCTGTGCGTCATGGAAGGAGGTGTAATGCTGTGGGAGGGAGGTTGGTGGCGATGTCTTCTGACTGTGTGTGGCCACCTTTTATTGACTGCACTCACCATACCAGCTTAGTGGTTCGCTATGGTGAACACAAATGTAGATACTTATATATAACGTGCGTACAGAGGGTATAAACAGCAAGAGAAGGTTTGGAGCCGCCATTTTGGTGAAGGCGGTGGCGTCGTCTGCACGACGCCACCGTGCAGACGACGGTGTTGTTTACTGCTTACCACGATGGTCTTTGGGCACCATACCAGTTTATTTGTAAAAGTATGATGAATAAAACAGGTAGATATTTATATATAATGTGTGTATATAGCATAACAACACCACACAGTATTGTTGGAGGACAAATATTAGTGCGTCTGGCCTTGAGGGCGGCCGCCGATCAGCTGGTTGTGTGAGTAGCCACATCTTTGTGCCTTTACTCACCATACAAGCTTAGATGTACAGTTATGGTGAACAAAACATGTAGATACTTATATATAACGTCTGTATATAAGATATATAGCGTAATAACACCACACAGTATTGTTGGAGGAGAAATATTAGTGTGTCTGACCTTGAGGGCGGCCGCCGATCAGCTGGTTGTGTGAGTAGCCACATCTTTGTGCCTTTACTCACCATACAAGCTTAGATGTACAGTTATGGTGAACAAAACATGTAGATACTTATATATAACGTCTGTATATAGTGAATTATAGCAAAAACATTATTGTGGGAGGAGAATGAGGGTGAGTTAGATGAATGGAGGGAGGGCGGGAGTGGCTGGCTGCTACACGGCGGTCACTCCTCATTACTTTTTGACTCATAATAGCTACTTAGTGGTTCGTTATAGTGAACAAAACATGCAAATACTTATATATAACCTGTGCTTATAGTGTAATAACCGACAAAGTATTTGTTCGCTGATTGATGAACATAATTGAATCAACAATATGCACACCATATTTTTGAGTACACCAACGATTCTCTCATTTTATTATATATCAAACTACACACTATTGAATAATATTACAGCAAAAAAGTATGAAAAATCAATCAGAGACATTGAAATAATTCGGTAATTATCTCTTTGTGGCAACTCCGGCCTGACAGCTTGCGAGCAACAGACCGCCTGGGACGCACGCTGAGTCAGCGCCTATAATTTGCCAGACTTCCCCGCCCTATAGCGGGCAATATATGCCACTTACGATTTTTTTATTATTTTTCCCGTGATCAGTGAACACAAATTAACAGGTTAGAAAGAAAAAAAATATTTTTTTTTTTTCAAAATGACATGCGCCTGTGGGGATGACAGGATATTAACCCTCAAACCGCGCATATCATATATAAATGATATCAGTGACAAAACCGAAACCGCGCACATCATTTATATATAATTTCGTGCCTAGCGCTATAATTTAAACGCCCCGCCTGGGATAGGGGCAGCTATAGTACAGCCACGACCGATAGTTGCCAAATGCCACCTAGAAAAAAATCCAGGCCAACATTCTTGGGTGTTACAGCGTCAGTATTGAGCAAGCCACCAAGGCTGGCGCACGCAGCACGAGCTCACAGCACCGCTGTTCAGCTTGTGACCACAGCATCGCCTACAAATACCATAATATAAATGATACTGCTATTATTTAGCAGTGATAGTATTACTGAAGCCCCCTGACTGTGATAAAACTGACCAGGATTCTGATAATAGCAGGATTGTGGTGATATTTAGCGCTGTGCTCCATGGAGGGAGGAGTAATGCTGTGGGAGGGAGGGTTGTGGCGTCGTTTTCTGTGTGTGGTCACCATTTATTGACTGCACTCACCATACCAGCTTAGTGGTTCACCATGGTGAACACAAATGTAGATACTTATATATAACGTGTTTATAATGTGAGATAACAGCGAGAGTAGGAGGTTGGGAGCCGCCATTTTGGTGAGGGAGGAGCGTCGTCTGCACGACTTGGCATGTTGTTTACTGATGGCCACTATGGTCTTTGGGCACCATACCAGCTTATTTGTTCAGGTATGGTGAATAAAACAGGTAGATACAGGCATACCTCAGAATAAGAGTTTAATCCGTTCCTGGAGACGCCTCGCCTTCCGAAAACTCGCATTCCGAAGTTAATTTCCCCATAAGAAATAAAGGGAAATGAATTAATCCGTTCCTGACTACCCCAAAAACCCCACATCAAACTAAATTTTTATACCTAATTTACCTAATTCATCTAAATAAACCTACAAAACTGTGTTCCAGTTATTACTTACCTTGCTGTCGAGTGCTGTAGGCGTATGGAAGATGGTGAGGAGGGGGGAGGAGGAGAGGAGTTACTGTTTGGAAGGGGAGTCCCCTTCCATAATCACATCACATAACCCCATGCCTTGTAACACTATGGATACCACTTCTCTTTCTAAATTTTTCAAACCAGCCCCTGCTTGCCTTAAACTCTTTCTTATCTGCATCACTCGTTGCAGGGGTATTCTTTAGAAGGTCTTCGTGCAACACCCTGGCTTTCTCACAAATAATGGCCTCCGAAACACTATCACCCCTCAACTCCTTGTCGTGTATCCAAATTAATAACAACTTTTCCACTTCTTCAAGTATTTGTGGTCTTTGTGCCGTTAATGTTCTTACTTCTTTTGCCACTTTAGCACCCATAATCTTATTTTTCTTAAGTATAGTGCATATTGTTGATGTGGCTTTGTTGTACTGCCTACAAAGTTCAACAACACGTGTACCGTTCTCATGCTTCCGAATGATCTCTTGTTTCTCCTCTATTGTCATCCTCACATGAGCTTTCTGGCCTTTATCCTTACCACTGGCTTTCTTGGGACCCATGGTGAGATATATAATAACAAATTGTATAGACAAATCACCAAAAATCCAACAAAACACTGAAAATCCGCGAGAAGAATTGATGTGGGGGTAGTCACTGAGCGCGAGACAATGGTAAACTGAGGGGCGGCGGGGCGGAGGGGCGACGAACGCGCTAGGTCGGCTGTACACGTATCAACAAACTCGCGTCCAAACTCGCCTCCCGAAGTAACCATCGCCTTCCGAGACAAATTTTTGGAGTAAATACACCTCGCCTTCCGAAAACCTCGCATACAGGGACAATCGCATTCCGAGGTACCACTGTACTTATATATAATGTGTGTGTATATAGCGTAATAACACCACAAACAATATTGTTGGAGGACAAATATTAGTGCGTCTGGCTTTGAGGGCGGCCGCCGATCAGCTGACTGTGTGAGTAGCTACGTCTTATGGCCTTTACTCACCATACAAGCTTAGATGTACAGTTATGGTGAACAAAACATGTAAATACGTATATATAACATCTGTGTATAGTGAATAAATACAGAAAGAGTATTATGGGAGGTAAATGAGGGTGAGTGAAGTGGTGTTGAGGGAGGGAGTGGCAGTGAGTGGCTCGCTGGTGTTTGGTGGTCACTCCTCGTTGCTTTTTGACTCACAAGACCAACTTAGTAGTTCGTTATGGTGTACAAAACATGCAGATACTTGTATATAACCTGTGTAAATAGTGTAACAACAGCAAAACTATTTGTTTATTGTTTTATGAACATAATAATTGAATCACTAATATGCACACCATAATTTTGAGTACAGCGATGGTTCACACATTTTATAATATAAATATACCACAATTCACTGTATGGAATAATATTACTGCAAAAAAACTAAGAAAAAATCAGAGACATTGAAATAATTAGGTAATATATTTGTGGCAACTGCCGTCTGACAGCTCGGGCGGAGTAGACCTCGTCTGGCGAAGGTTCTGCCAACGCCCCTTTTTTGCCACACTTCCCTACCCTATTGCGGCTAAAATATGCCACCTACGATTTTTTTGTTATTTTTTCCGTGATCAGGGAACAAAAATGAACACTTCTTTAAGACGAAAGAATTTTTTGGATTTTTTTTTTTGTTGCGCCTGTGGGTGTGAATTCCATTTGGGCCCCTAGCGGTTTGTGGGTTAAAGAACCCTTCGAGAAATGGTGGCCTCTAAATAAGACACCTGAATGATTGAGAAGCTGCCAGCGAACACCTATAGAAAAACCTAAGGATTTGTAACTCAAAGCAAATATATGACTTAGGGTCTAGACAACAGTGAGGCTGAGAAAGGACATGCACATGAAGCCAACACCAAAAAAATGGTAACAAACAGAAGCACAAGACCCTGAAGGACAGAGTCTAAAGGATAGCCAACACTTATCTGGAAAAAAAGAAAGCAAGGAGCTGTATACAGGAGAGCAGCACACACACGACTGATTCAGTATTATCAGCTGGATCCCGTGCTGCCGGGGCCACTGCCTGTCTGTGGGGGCCAGGGTGTAGCTAGCAAGGGTAATGGCCTAACTACTTTTCTTCCTAGTTGTCCGAGTTGCTAATAGTAATTTCTTTACAGCTTTGTGTTTTAAAGTGCTCTACAGTTCTGGTTATATTCTCTCTTGATCCTGGGTTGAGAAATTACTTAGACTCCCCGTACCTCTTAATGGACCAGATTCTGACTTTGGTCTGTCGAATGCTTTTATGGTTTGCAGGTCTCGGTCATAAAGACACGTTATGTCCCCACCGGCCTGGTGGGACATCATGCATGCACACCTAGGTAGCATAAGAAATCAACAGAGCTCACAAAATTGTGGGCTCACTGTAAAATTGCTCACAATAACAGTCTTATATAATGACCATAATAATAAAAATAAGGAACTTACCCATGGAAGAAACAAAATAAATACCAGCAAAACTTACCCAAGTTGAACAGGTCCTTTTCCTTCCTCAGCTGGTAGAAGGTTCTGTGTGATGCTGGTGTTGGGTTCAGAATCTCTCTGTTCAAGATGGAGGGAAGAAGGCGTCTCTTGCTGTTAGTCGAGCTCGAGCAATACAATGTACACCACACAACAGTACACACCAATCACACCACCCATGATATTCACAATGTTCAACAAGTGACATTACACAATAAACAAATGCATAACATTTGACATCACAATTTTAACATTTATTTCAATACATTAATTGCAAATAGGCACATACACAAAGCAGAAATTTAGTGTTATTTACAAAATTTAAATAAAAAGTTAAACAGTTATAAGAAATTATAAATAAGCAATTAAACATCCCCAAAAAATTAGTATTTATGTTGGGCATTTAATGGAGAAAATATTTGTTCAATTACAATGTTATTAAATCCCAGAAGAAATTTTGGTTAAGCACAGCAGATGTGAGCAGATGGAGTTGAGGTTTGAGTCGTGCCGAAGAACCAGCATCGAAGAATCACACGCATGGGGGGTGGGGGGAAGGAAAATGAGAATCATTAATTACTATTAACCAATCAATCCATTAACATTTTACCAATAAATGCAGTTTCATTAAACTTTTTCTTAGAAGATATTACACACCCATTTCCATTACCAGATTATTTTTTATTTTTTTTTTAATACATGCCAACCAGGTTAAAGATTATACAGTATATATAAATAGTTAATACTGTAATACATTTAGTCTTATTAAATTGAAATACAATGCAACCACAATCTTGCGAGCCTCTCTTCGGCGAATCTGACTGCAACGCATACTTTGCACACCAGATTTACTCACCCACTTCATGGACAAGAGATCAGCGAAGCAGGTGATGTGCAGATTTGCCAAGGCTGCAGGTCCACAGTTCACCGACCAGGAGGAAAGTTAGTGGGCTGGGTTCAATAATGCCATTTTTGTGGAGAGCCCTTTCAGCTCCCTGGAGCTATACCGGGCTGACGTGCATACATTAGACCATGGCAACAGTCAATCAATGGAGTTCTAGGCCAACCGGAGACCACTGCCAGAGCCTGGCCCTTTCAGATGAGGCACGAGAAGCAATCGCCTATGGACACCCCCATGTAATTGGAAGCAGTCTATGTCTGCCATCCACCAGATCAGGCACCCAGAAGTGTAGGAATTCCAAAACAAACTACATCTGGTTAAAAAATGCAAACCGAAAGCCGAACTAGCAAACAGGAATTCCCAATCGAAAACAAGCATGAGGTCACCACAGCTGCCACGGCGCTGTCCTCGACTCCCCCCCCCCCTCTTTGGGAGGGGGAAGGGTGGGGTCCAAGACCTTCCACGCTGGCTAGCCAACCTCAGTTCAAGAAGCTGTTGTGTTGGTGGCGGTCGATCGAATCTGGCTCCATCCTTCTGAGCAGTGCTGCACAGCGGTGATGGTGGTCTGTGTTGGTGGTGTGTGACCCAGGAGTAACACAAGAGTACTGGGGATGCATGCACCTAGGACCACCTTGCCTAGGTGCCCTGTAAGTACTGCCTTTGCAGTTTAGTTAACTTCCATGAGCCGTTCGGGACACTACCTCCACTTGGTTCGGTTGCTGCTCGGCAATTGCCTACCCTTGGGGTTCAGCTGGGGTGGTTTTTACTCCTGTTTGGCCTTGGGTAGGAGGAGGTATCGTCGCTGGCTGGGGTAGGAGGTTGTATCGTCACTGGCTGGGGCACGAGGTACTGTGCAGCCGTGTTATATGCATAGCAACCAGTTCTGTTCTCCTGGAGATGACGTGCTATTGCAGGGATTTTGTTTTTTGTTTTGTTTTGCCTGATGGGGAGTCTGCCTGGTGTGGCTATAGAACCACTTGTATAAATTTGGTGGCCCTCCACTAGGTCCCCATGATTGCACACATTGCAAGGGTTCAGCTTTTAGTTTGCTTGGTAGCTCTGGGATAACTGGTTAGCAGTACCTGACCTGGGCTTTCCTTAGCAGTCAGCCTAAGGGCTCTGGGAACCCCAATTGGGGCTCATTGGTCCAATGGAAGAGACCTCTGAGACCCACCTCGCTTCATGAGAGTTTGAGGGTTGCTCTGCCCCTTTGTATGACCACTCACAGTCTTTGTCTCCACCTTGCTGCCTGTTGGGTCAATGACACCTTTGACCTGGAGACCTGCGAGTGCTGTTCTTTGCTTGTACTCCTATTCATCAAGTCCACTGATATTGATATTTGGGTGCAGGTAGCTTCAGCGTTCCATGCACAGTTTATTTTGCTGCAACGAGCTAGGTTGGTTGCCTTTCCGGATGCCTCGCAGCTGCCCCGCTTTGGTTATAGAGACCCGGACTTGGGGGTGTTAGTCGCCTCGACTTTGGTTTTTTCCGTGCCCCCCTTTCCCTTCCCCCTGCTGTGGTTCATCCTGCTCCCCTTTTCCCCTGCTCCCGGCTCCAAAATGTCTGAGTGTTTCGGAGTCGGGGCAGGGTTTTCTTGTTGGTGAGATTCGGGCGGCTTCAACGACTGCCCCTTCTGGTTCGTCAGCAGAGGCATTCAAGCCTGTTCCTCCTGCCAGGGCTTAGGGTTGCACCAGAGGGCCCCCTTCATCCCTGATTTTCTGGTGGACTACCTTTTCTCCAGAGGCAGAGGGTTTGGAGGACATCTTGGCCCTGGGTCCTGACGTGGAGGATCCCTGGGGTGGGGAGGAGTTGACTTGGGTTGCTTGGGACCCGTTTGATCCCACTTGGGTGTTGATACTCTCAGTGCAGGGCTTGTTACAGGGAAAAGGGTTTTCTTATTCCCTCCCCACCCTTCCTGTGCGAGTTTGATACGAGTTCGTCTCCTTCCCCGGAGTTTGGTTCCGGGTTTCCTTGGGTTCCTCGGTTCCCTCCTCCTGGAGGTTTTCGGCTTCCCGCATTTTGCCGAGGGAGGTGTGGGAGGCCCTTGCGGCTTACTTTCTGCGAGACCCGGATTACGACTCAATAATGGATCTTCCTCCTTTTGAGTTTGGCTCCTCTTTTCCTTACTGGGTGCGTTAAGAGGTGCCGGAGTCTTCCTGGCTGGCAGACTGCCTTTCTTTTCGTTGGAGGGCATGGAATGCATTCTGTCGGACCCGCACACTTGAGTGGCGAATTGACTACGGTCATTCAGGTTTACCTGGGGGGAGAGTTTAAGCACCTCAATGCATGCTTGTGAAAGCTCAATGCTTTCCCCCATGAAAGCATGGGAGAAAGCATTCTCCCACATGCTTTCTCGTGATGTTGGCCAGGTGCAGCTTCACGTGCAAGTTCCCTCTCTTTCAGCATCTCTGGTGGCCAAGGATTTGTGCGCCTGTGGCCATTTGGCTTCAGTCTTGCGCTTCTTTTCCCTGCTGGAGCTGTCTTCGAACTGCTTCGGACACATCCTCATGGAGGATGTGGAGGAGCTAGGTTCCGGGCCTGTGTCCGGTTTCTTGCCTCGGCGGCTTGGGCGTCGGCTGTCTTGTTGAAGTTGTTTGTGCCGATTCTGAAGGAAGTGGTGTCTGTTCTTTGCGTCCCACCTCATGTGCCAGCAGACAGTGCTGTCCACTCTCTGAAAACTGCTTGGGCCTTGGCTCTTAGATTTGCACCCCCCTTTTTGTCTGTTGCTGTTTTGCACAATCTGAGGTGGTGCATTTTTTTCAAGCGGCTTTATCTAGTTGGCAGTCAATGTCGGACTTAACCCAATCTGTTAGGTGTTCGGGTTTACATCGATGACTGGCTGGTGTGGGCTCCCAGCCAGTCTGCATGTCTGCTCGCCAGGATTTAGTTCTTTCCCAGCTCGCCGGGTTCGGGTTCTTGATGAACTGGGGGAAGTCCCATTTGGTTCCCTCTCAGGTTCAGACTTGGCTGGGTCTTGTGTGGGACGCTCGAACCATTTCCTTGCCTCTTCCTCCCGCGGCATTGCAGCGGCTGCAGTCCTGCCTTCGGCTGTTTTTGGAGGACACCCGGATCACGCGTTGGTTGTTCAAACAGTTGTGTGTGAGTCTGAACTTCGCGGTGCTGGTCTACCCGTCGGATCGATCTTGCTTCGGCGGCTGTTCTGGTTCCTTCGAGGACATCCCTTCCGCTGCTCTTGCAATCGCTGGGTTCAGACTCCGGGGACCTTGCATCAGCTGCTGCGTTGCCAGCTTCCTCTTCGGGTTTTTGGGGGTTCTGTGCCGTGGCACCTACTCGAGCCCTCGCTCAATGTGTTCACAGATACATCATCTCTCGGCTGGGGTCCGTCCTTCCGTTGGGCTCACAGCACAGGGCGGGAGTTTGCAGCGGTGTGGCATTTGTTTCGGAGAGGTTCACGTCGCTCACGGATCGACGATTCGGCTCCATTCAGACTGCCCTCCTGTGGCTTGTTGCCTAAACTGCGGGAGTTCGATGTGGTCCTTTGCTCTTTGGCAAAGGGTGACTCGTCTGCCCAGTTCTCAGGGTTTGGCTCTCCTGGCGGTTCATGTCCAGGGAATGTCCAATGTACTGGTGGACGGCCTGTCCCATTTCATTTCCCTGTCCACGGAATGGATGGGTGTCTCGTTCCATTGGCTCTGCTGAATGTTCAGGTGCCCGGACATGGTCCTCTTTGCATCAGTTTGGTCGAGGCGTCTCCCGGTATATGTGGCACCCTCTCCCGACTGCGAGGCCGTCAGGGTTGATGCCTTTCGACTGGACTGGTCGAGGTGGGTTTACTTGTTCCTCTTCCCACCGGTTCGGAACTCCAAAATACTTTTTCTCGTATGCAAGAACAAAAATTGCATCCAGCACCCTTGCACATGGGTGATGGAACTTTCACAGATGATAAAGAAATGAGTGAAATACTGAGGCTTCAATATGATTCTGTTTTCAGTGAGCCCCTGAACACATTGAAGACCAATGATCCCAATGAATTCTTCACGAATGTGACACCAACATTGAACCACATATCAGCTGTCAACCTAACCCCACTGGACTGTGAAGTAGCTATAGACATGCTCATGCACTCTGCACCAGGTCCAGACTAATGGAATTCTATATTCACCAGTAAGTGAAAAACACCACTATCACAGCCCCTAAACATCTTTTGGAGATGGAGCCTAGATACTGGTGTCATCCTGACATACTTAAAACAATG